AATGGCGCCGCATCGTCTCAATCTGGCATTCAGTTCAACCAGGAAATTAGCCGTGATGAGCGAGATGCACTTTGGATGGAGCTGCCTCGCATTCACATTGCGTGCATGGGCTTGCTTTCCAACGTGGTCGGTATCTTGGCAAACAGCGCGACCGCAGTGGGCCAGACTATTCTAGAGCAGGCTGTCTGGACTTTCAAGGGCGAAAAGTTCAATAGAGACCTGCGTTCGGCAGTCTATGGTTTGCTTCGTTCTCTGGTGCCGGTGAACGGACCTGCGATGACGAAACAGAGCGTGGTGTCTTTGACGGAAGTTCTACGCTCTTGCTGCAATGATATATTGCCGCCGACGGGAGATTCCAGCTCCGCAGCAAATTCGGGCTCTGACTCTAAAGCAAAGTCAAAGGGCGGACAAGGGACAGCCAATGCGGACGCCTTTTTAAACCCTGATCTTCAGAAATCCCGCCAGGTACAAGCGGCCTCTCCATTTTTGGACGTTCAAAAGAATGCATCCGGGCTTTTGCAGGCCGTGTTCATTTCTATCCCCGCCGAGCTTGTTCCGCCCTCCATCAGGGCTGAAATGGATCGCTCCATTATTTTGACATCCGACAAGGATGGGATGTTTGCTAGCGTACTCAACCCTGTCCCAGCAGTCAAAGGCCGTGGAGCAGGCTCGAGTATCATTCCATTCTTGACTAGGCCTTATGCTGATCAGATAGAGGTCGAGGCTCTGATTCGTCCCAGGATGCCTGTCCTGATGACTGCGCCCGAGCTTGACGCCTATGTCGATGAGGAGCAAGAAGCAGAAGATGAAGACATGGCTGATGATTCACACAATGCCGCCCCGAGGACTACAGGATTTCTGAAGCAACCTGTGTCGATGCCCCTGCAAGTACCGAAGTCAGACCATTCGAAGGCTGCAAATCCGGCACCTACTTTCCACAAGCGAACCTTCACCGAGGAACCCACAGCAGAGGAACCGACACCGCAGAAGCAGGATGTTCAGACCAAGAAAGCGCGATTCGACGAAATTATCCCAACCACCTCGAGCCAACAGGCTTTCTCTCAGCCAGCTCCTGCAATCACCAAGACTGAGGCCCCAAAGCTTTCAACGCATGTGTCCACTACATCTACGATCCTGACCTCGCAGGCTCCACAGGAGGCTGTTGATGATAGCGATGATGAATTGCCCACTTTGAATATCGAGTCTGACACCGATGAAGAGGATGACGATGTCACGATGGAAGGGTAGACGATGTGATTATAGGTCTTATAACAATTTGAATCGAGCATATGATTAATTTCATGCACATGCAATGACTTCAAGGATCTCGAAAGCAACCTAGGATTCTAGATCTATCAATTCTATAACACTCGTATACCACTCCCCCAATATGTACCATCACTCCAGTACCGGAACCAGGGCTCATTCCAGCACCACCAACCTTGGCCCTGTAGCCCGAATCCCAATGCACGAAGTGGACTAATTGGAATAGGCTCCATCAACCATAGGCCACCCTTCGCAAAGTCATCCGCGATTAGGCCACCTGAGATCATCAACCAACAAAATACAAACACAAAGTTTGCCGTTCGTCTCAGCCATCTCGGGGTACGAGCAAAAGGCAACTTTGGCAGAATCGATGCCTTGAAAAACTGCTCTGCCATGATTGCAGCACCCTGCAAAGCGAAAAATAGGAATGGCCCGGACACGGGGGATGTATCTTCAATCTGAGTGTGGCTTCCACAGGCATGCACCAAGCCGCTAAGACAGAACGCCACTATCACGTAAGTGACACGACGGACTTGCAGATGGGAAGCCAAGCCGGCAGGAAGCACGGATAAGATCCAGCGTGCTGAAGCTACAAATCCGTACCGGAAGATCTGGTGCCACCAACGACTCCAACAGCCCGCCAACCCTTCATCAAGGATCGGGGTGAAGAATGGGCCGAATGCATCGGAATACAGCCATGAAGCGCCCAGCGGTGCGGGGGTCAACTTTTTAGCCCCGTTGGGGAATGCGAGAGATAGACCAAGGAAGAATATTGGATTGAGTGATGTCACGAACTCAAGAGCAAAATACACACTTATGGCGCTGTATAGTCGACGACAGAGCTGGGCTATGGCAGGATGCAATGTGAGATCTGTGAAGTAGAAGAAAGGAAATGGTGACAGTGAATCAGTTGAAATAAAGCCTCGAAAGTAGGGATCTGGCATCAGGATTATGACTTTCAAGGTATCCAGGACAAGGTAAGATATGAAGAACTTCCGAAAGGCAGCCTGCAGGCGGTGTTTGCCGCTAGGATATGTGGAGGGTTCATGTGCGTTGATTCTGCCCATGAATCCTGAATGCAATTGCTCGTAAATTGGTCGTGGAAGAGGACCCAGATGGGAAGCTCGCCAGTTCCATTCTGGCCCCCTCAGGTTGAAGAGTAGTCCAGCAGACCATTCAAGACGGTGCCAAAAGTTTTCGGGATATGACCGCCAAACAAAAAGGTTGCTGTCCCGTTGTGTGCATATTAGATCGCTCGAGTCGAGCGACTTCCTGACGGTACTAGTTTCAATCTCGGCATCATTTTGAGACTTGATATCCACAGGCTTCCGTTCAATGCGCTTGAAATCATGTTCAATGTCTGTAAACACAAACAACGTGGCATTCCATACTAACCACCACGCGGTCATCAGGCCAAGCATGTAGCCATTTCCTCCGATGATTGCCCGTCGGTTTTGCAAATTTTCAATCGCAATTGCAATGCAGAGGACGAAAAGGCCCTTTCGAACATATTGTCCGCCCCTGCTGCGAGGAATGACCAGACCTATCAATGGTAAAATGTTGATGATGACAACATGATATAGGAAAACTGGCTCAAAGATCCTCTGTTCTAGTAGGGTATCCAGTCGCCTCTCATAGTTCTTGGCTAGATCCGTGTAGGAACCATAGCGGGGATCGGCCATGTGGGACACAGGGGCGCCACTGTAATGCCTCGGTAGCACGGAGTACTCGGAGATGCGCTAAAAATCGCCGACTGGTGTTTGAGGGATCAACGCTTTTCACAGGTGAATTCCCTTCACTGATCTTCGGGGACGAAATGAAGATTTTGATTGAATCTATGTTGGGCAATATATAACATGAAAATCTAGGTGACGTTTGTTAGAGAAAAAGGAAATATATCATCACGTGCCTTGGAGCAGTGATTGCTAATGCCTTAGGCCACAACATTGGAAGCACCATGCATGCGACTATCTTCGCCAGAAAAAATTATTGGAGAATCAACGCAAAAGGTCAGGATCAACACGCTATGGCGACAATGAGGTCGACTAAGTCTGAATAGCCTCGTCACTGTCTGTCTTTAGGGTTGTTGAAAGCGTTGGGAGGAGCTCCTTCATTGATGAACCCACTCCACCCACTTTTCTTATTCCATGGTATATACTCCGTACTATGGCAATAGATGACCTGCAGCCTGACTGCCAGGGACAGCTTTTGATAACGGGAAGCTTTTAACGCTAACGGGGTAATACATGTACTGAGGTCCTATAGTCAACATCATCTTTATACCGTCTTAATCTCTTTGCCGGATCAGTATACTTGCACTTCTTGTATTCGCAAAATGGCATTTAACGACATTCGAGGTAGATTGGCCGTAATCACCGGCGCATCGGGAGGGTAAGTATGATACCGACCGTTTATACCAGGATATGAAGCTGATTCGCGTCAATTCTCTGATTCTAGAATCGACGCAGCTTGCGCACACCAACTTGCACAACATGGAGTTCATCTCGCCTTGACCTACTCGACCAATTTGACATCCTTGAATAAGATTGTCGCAGATATACACTCGAAGAATGCCACGCAGAAGCTTCGCGTTTCAATCCACCAGGTTGATGTTGGGTCCAGCAATCAAATTGGGGCTATGTTTCAACAAATTGATATCGAGCATGGCCAACGACCAGACATTCTTATCTCAAACGCCGGACGTGGCAAGCGAATTCCTGATGCGTCGGATATCTCGCTCGAGGAATTTGATTACACTATGAAAATCAACCTGCGCGCTAGCTTCCTTCTTGTCAAAGGTGTGGTAGAGCACATGAAGGCCCAGAAGTGGGGACGGATCATCTTCATGTCCTCCATCGCCGCTCATGGTGGAGGAACTAACGGTTGTCGTAAGTCAATCCACTACCCTTGATCCATTATCCTTTTATTTTTCGAAGGCAATTGCTGATTCAACCTCCCATTCTAGACTACGCAGCCTCCAAGGGTGGCCTTACCGGTATGATGAAGAACCTCTCAACCCGACTAGCAGAGTACAACATTAGCGTCAACGACGTCGCCCCAGCTATGATTGGCGATACAGGAATGCTTTCCTCTGCGGCGGAATTCCCCGAAGTGGTAGAGGGTATCCCTTTAAAGCGGTTAGGAACTCCAGAAGAAACAGCGAACGTCGTCACTATGCTAGTGAAGACTGGGTACATGACGGGCCAGAGTCTTCTCCTAGCTGGAGGATTGAAATAGGTTCTAGAATTAGGGTCGAATTTATTTACATTTTGAAACTCAACAGCGCTCTTGCTTTCTCTACGCCGTGGGAAATAAAAAAGTATTGTTTTACACAGTCCTTTGGGTTCACCGGACGCGGACGTTGGAGATTTTATTTCAGAAATACTAATTTCGAGCACAGGAACAAGTCATAAGGTGTGGTGGGATATAGATGCTACTTTAGGGATGTTTGGGGAGAAGCTGTGATAGTACTTCGTTAGTCCATCAAAAGTTCCCGAGGATATTGTCGATGGTGGGTTATGGCGGTATTTAGTGACCCTAATACACCGTAGCTGTACACCTGAGCAGTCAGCTTCTATAGTGGACGTACAACGTATGAATATAACGAGCTATAAAATTGAAACGCTACATATATCTGATCCTAGCATACAATCTGTTGGCATAGATCACCCAGAAAAGCCAGGGGTAATTAAATCAAAACAAAAGACACTTCCAATCGTTGCCTGCATCTTAGTTCAAACAGGAAGGACAACCTTGACGCCCATGTACTCGCGTTGGTGCATAATCTTGCCATCAATGAGGACCTGGTCAGCACCAACTCTGTTGCGCTCTTGATCCGTAGGATCCGTAGCGGTAGCAATCTGGATTTCACGCCATTGATCGTTGGTAGGCACAAGCTTTCCTTGGGAGGTGAGATTCTTAAACTCCTTGTAAACACCCTGTTCCTCAACACAGCCCACTCTCTGGATAAGAGGAGAATCTACAAAAGATGATGTTAGCGAGGTCGTTACTCATATGCGTTGATCTCAATCTACTAACCTGTTGCAGGGCCCATACGCAAATCACCAACAGAGCTGTTGAAGAGCACCAGCGAGAGACGTTCCTGCTGCAATTGATCGACAGGAGGCTTGAAAACACGGTGCCGAGTAGCCTTGAAATGGCCACCAGAAACAATCTCCAGGGTATCACCGATGTTAATGACAAGCGCACCGGGTTTGTAGGGTACGTAGTACCACTTTTCATCGCGGCCCCAGATCTGAAGACACGAGATGGGGACAGAGAAAAGCAATGTTGTCAGACCGAAGTCAGTATGGCCGTGCATGCGCAGGCCCTTGGATGCCTCTTCAGTCTTCTTCTTGACGGGGCGGAAAGTGCATGGCGGAAGTAGCCCTCACCAGTTGGACAACCGTGTGACTGAACGTTGTCCCAGAGATAGTCGTCGGGCAACTCGAGGACGCGGGAGAAGAGAGTCAAGAGACGGCGGTTGACGGACTTGGTCAGATAGTTGGAAAACTCTTCGATCTCGTCCATAAAGGGGTGAAGGCATGTGGGCACACGGGTGATGTCGTTCCACTCGGCTTTGTACCAGTTGAATTGCTCGATTCCGTCTTCGGGTCCGCGTTCGCACTAATCACAAGAAGGGAGAGTAAGTACAGTGTTGGATTCTTTGATGAGGGAGACCCTCTTGCCTTGAATCCGTAAGGGTGTTTGTAACCTGACCAAACACCAGTTTCAGGATCGAACAGAAGGCGTCTCTTGTCCTCTTCGCTAATGTTTTGGTACAGATACTGCGCAAGAGAGAATTGGCGGTGGAGCTATTGAAAGAGATGCGTTATTAGCGACGTTGGTTTTGGAAAATTTCCGAGATCCAAGACTTACCTGCTCTAGGGAGATTCCATAGTTTTCGAGGAAGAGAAATCCATCATCACGAATTGCGACCTTAACCTGCTGGACAAGTTTCTCGACAATGGCAGGTTCATCCGAGTCCATCAAAGAAAGATCAATGGAACTAAGCTCGGCAAAGTTCTCCTTTTGCTGCGTGACCGGCGGGGGAACCCAGGTTGGGACAAAAGGTTTGCCAGGCAGGTCAGCCGCAGGAGGATTGAAGGGAGCTGAACGCGGCATGGTAATATGATATATGTGCAAAGGACGTCCAATGTTGTGATCGATGCTAAAGACAATACATGGACGATTATCAGATCGAGTTCTATATATTTATACTAATCTAATGACGAGACATGAAACCATATATCTGTGTATCCGATATCCGGGGATGTAAGTCTGGCATGCTTCATTCAGTTAGATCGGATGAGATGAGGGTAGGACGATTATCGACATCCGCTAGTGCGCCACTGGATCTTGGGCGTGATAATCGTCATGCTGGATGCTCCCTGTTGCATTTCCCTACATTTTCCCGATATTTCAGTTTATTTTCGTTATCATAAAGGGAACGTCGGGGGCTCCTCTGCCTCAGGGCATCTATAGCCTTGGGGTAAACCTTAAGCATAAACTATAAGGTGGGCGCTAGACCCATTGGAAGAAGATCGACACCCATGGAGCCGGGAATTGCCAGGGTCAGAGGTGCAGACAAGCGTCGATTGCGGCCACGTAGGTAATATTAATTACTAGGCGGGGCTTTACGCACTAATAGACATTTTGAGGAACATGGCCGCAATGCTCTACCCAGAATAATGTGCTCCTCCCACTCCTCCCGCCAACCCCCTGGAAGAATGATAACGAATAAACTTGTACCGAGCAAACGCTGCTCCTCCATAGCGATAATGAGAATTGCCCCTCTTCTTGATTGGCAAGACGCCTCGGATAGAAAGGCATAAGGGGTAGCTTGAGCAATTTAAACAAGCTTATTGTTTAGTACTTCTACATTTCAAATTTCTTGACACAGTATTGAAACAGTAGCACGATCAAGAAACCCCGATACCCTTTAAACCCATCAACGAAGATGTCTCGTCAACTCATCTCCAGCGAGAAATTCCCTACCAAGCCTCATAACTGTGAGTATCTGCACGCAAAACACCTTGCATTCTCTTGAGGAATAAATAATAAAAATACTAACCGAGATACTCAGGCCCTGCCGTCAAAGTCCCGGGGCTCGTTTTCTGCGCAGGCCAAACTGCCACAGGAGAGATTAAGCAGGCTACTGTAAGTTCAATTGCACAAGTAGTGATCGGGTACTAAGGCATTGGCTGACTCTTTGTTGCTTTTACAAAGAGAACCGTTCTGCAAAACCTGAAGGAGATCCTCGAGCTTTCCGGCTCCTCCCTTGAGCAGGTCGTCAAGTACAATGTCTACCTCGCTGACTCGGTCTGTATTTACAGACAAATAACAATATTGTAGTCTCAGTTTCATCTAACTGGAGTCAGACTTGTGAGGAGAAAGGTCTACAGAGACGTCTAGGTGCACATGGTGCAATATGAGAAAAGGATAGTTGAATTATTGTATACATAGAAGGTAAGTTACAGGACTAGAAGTTTGACAAGACTGCCACCTAGTAGGTAGGTACCCGTGCAGGTGACCCGAGGACATCTGATTGATTGTCAAAGAGCGTTTAACCCCGGCCCCGGGGTGCTCTAGGCCCAATCGGATCGGATGGGAATGTCTGTATTGTCGCTGCAGTATACATGTATACATACTAGTAAACTTAAGCGCAGCGAGACTTCAAGGCATCATGGAAGATTTAAACATGTCAAATGAGCAATTCGCCACGGCTATCTCCATTCTGTTTGTTGGCTATCTGCCCTTCCAAATTCCCAGCAACCTCATCATTACAAAGATCTCCCGGCCAGGCATGTACATATGTGGTGCCGTGGCGATCTGGGGTTGTATCTCGGCTTGCACAGCGGCGGTAACGACATATGGTCAACTCCTCGCTGTTCGAGCCATTCTCGGAGCCGCCGAAGCTGTTTTCTTTCCCGGAGCCATATATTACCTCTCTGCCTGGTACACAAAGAGGGAGCTAGGGAAGCGTATCGCCGGGCTATACATTGCCCAGCAAGTCGGTAATGCCTTCAGTGGCCTCTTCGCCGCAGCTATCCTCCAACTTGATGGCCACCACGACATCCGCGGTTGGCAGTGGCTATTCATCATCGAGGGCTGTGCCACTGTCGGCATTGGTATTATCTGCGCCTGTATCATGCCAGAATTCCCTCACAACAGCCGCATCCTCTCCCAACTTGAGCGCGACTGCGCCGTGTGGCGTATCGAGTCTGAAGCTGGTGCTGCGGAGGGCACAGAAGACGAGAGCGTGTTGAAAGGGTTTGCAAAAGCCCTCTCAGACCCCAAGCTAGTGCTGCTCATCCTTTGCAACATGCTATCCCAAACACAGGGCTCCATCGCCAACTATTTCCCCACACTCGTGGGCTCGCTCAACTTCTCCAGAACCGTCAGCTTGCTTCTCACAGCACCTCCCTATATCCTTGCCGGCATCGTCTACTACGGCCTCATGTTCTACTCCGATCGAAAGAATACCGTCTACCCAGTCATCCTCCTTTGCATCGCCATCTCCATTCCAATGTACATCATCCCGATTGCGAGTACGAATGTCGGAGCCCGCTACTTCTCCATGATGATCCTCCCCTTTGCTTCCGTCGGTCCTCAGCTCCTGCTCTACAAGACCATCAACTTGCACCTTGCACGACCCATCTCGAAGCGAGCGGCTGCCTCTGCTTCGGTTAATGCCATCGGTGGTACATCCAACATCTGGGCCTCATACCTATACTTTGGACAGCCCCATTTCTATGCTGCCTTCGACACGCTTATGGGTGCTGCTGTTTTGTCCGGGCTCACGATTACTGTATACCGCTGGCTTGTCTTGCGCGAGAACAAACGTCTGGACTCAGGCGATCCCTTGCAAATAGCCAAGGTGGTCAAGGGCGGTGCCACAGAGGAAATGGTGCGGCTCAACTGGCGCTACGAGATGTACTGATTACGTTGTTTTGCATTGTGTTACCCATATATTGCTGGGACCGGTGTATGAGTTTGTGTCACATGCGTTTGGTATATTCTAGCTTAGGGAAGTGAATATGACAGTGGAATATAATTGAGACTGATTGGATTGTTCGAATCTGGGATGAAATAATAACACAAGACATATATTCATAAATGCTTAGAGCATAAGAATATTATGATTCATTTATCTAATTCATCCAAACAAGACAAGATCAGTTTCCCAAGCTGCCATTTCCGTCTTCGCTGAAAGACCTTTCTCGCCCATATCAGAGCTCCCTCCTCATCACCATCATGGACGCCCACGGTGTCCATTGCGCCAGGTAGGCCAACATGTATTAGCTGCCAGGCAATCAAAAAGGCTTTATATGCATACAAAGTAACCCATGGCGCTTCAGAGCCCAGTACGAGCGTCTCATCAAGATATCGTAGGAACCAGTTGACATGTGGTGGGATAGCCTTTGCCGTGTCGGTATCGCACAGGAACTGCGACGATCCTATGTATGTTGAATGACTGAGAACGGCGTCTATGCTTCCTTCCACAATCCCGCCAGTATGAGATGGTGACCATATCTGCAGCTCGATCATGGCAGTCTCCCAAGTTGCAGCACATGACGTCGCGTGCTTTGTTTGCGTTATGTGATCGCCGGGGCAGATGAATGGGCTAAGTGCGATGAGGGATGATCTTAATGCGCCGAATCGCTCCATACTGAGCATTCTCGTCATTGTAGCCCAGCCTGAGATTTCCCGGGTGCTAGAGATAAGAAATTGCGCAATGTTGATGGCGCCGTACGGGGTCAAATGCCGGAAGGGAGACGGTATCCTTATCAGAGGAAAGGAAGCGTCGAACAGCATCGGTGTATGTGACTGAGGGGCCGGCATTTCTTGCAACAAGTTGTCGCATTCAGCAGCAAAGGATGATGACCATTCTTCTTCTGGACAGGGCATATTATGTTTAATTTCCAAGTGTGAGATTGAGCGGGGAATGGAAAGGAATTGGTACCAAAGCGCGTCGATCTGATGTACTGCGAAAAGGGTCCGTTTGTGCGACTCCGCTTTGACAAATTCCCGCCATAATGACTCCAAATCTGCGGTCGCAGCAGATTCAACAGTCATTGGTTGCTTCATTTGCCCAGCGCGAGCCAGAGAGATCATATGTGAGTGCATCTTGAGGCCGCATGCTGAGCTGTCGCCACAAAGGTACATCATGGCACATATTTGAAGAAGCAAGTATGATTGGACCAGTGTGGTGATCATTGTTGAAGCGTCGGACCTCTCTTCATCAGAAGCAAGGAGAGCTCGAGCTTTATGAAAGCAACGTATAGAAAAGCTTTCGCCTGAGCCTTCTTGGTCCCCGCATTCTGGGTCCTCGCCATATTGATAGGCGAGGCAAAGTATACTAAGGACCAAATGAGGAGCGGCTTGTGTTGGGTCGAAAGTCGAGGAATGGAGAAAGGGGAGGAAATGGGAGACTGAGGCGAAAAATAGATTGCAGCCTCGTGAGATTTGTAAGGCAGTCGGGGCCCAATCGTCTTGGAGTTGAGGGATCTCATTTGGCGACAACCTATCCAAAATTGAGTATTGAAACAGTACTCGGCTAGACTTGTATCAACTGGCTCGGCTTGTGCGGTCAGTATCGGATGTAGCTGGTTGTCAAGGTGATCGGTGGGCCTCAGAAAGGATGTCCCTAATAGTAAGTTCCGCTCCAGATCTGAAGCGTCCTGGGCAATCTGATCAATGAGAACAGAATCGTTCGTTGTCGATTGCTGTTGTAACTGGTTTGTTGTCGGTTGTGTCTTGGCTATCCCGGCCCTTGGCGTAGCAATATTCGGTTTTTCCGTGCGGTGGCCACGGTCAAACTGCTGCTGCTGCTATATTGCACCACTGGGCGCCAGATCGCATCACTACCGAACCTCATCTCATCTCCCGGGCTCAAATGCAGCGACCCGGGATAAGGAAAGCCACCATGACTTCCTGTAGGCGAGACCGCTGTGGGCGATACAGAAGAATCCAGCTTGTCTCGTCTGGGTGCTGGTTGGCACTGTGTTCTTTTCATCACACGGTGCTGCTCGTGCTCTGGATGTTTCCTCTTCATGTGGCGATTGCGCAAGCCGGGACGGGAGAAGGTAGCGTGGCAAAAGTTACAGGGAAGCGACGCTTCAGCCTGAGAGCGGGAGTGTAGCGTTGAATGTCGCTTGAGGTTCTCATGTCGAGTAAATCGACTTTGGCAGACGAGACATTGGAATGGCTGATATGAAGGCGTCGCTCTGACCTGCGAAATTGACATGATTTATAACGAAAGAGGTAGGGAAAGGTGACTGTCAATGCATCAGTCAGGGGACGGGCTGTACTCCACGCAAACGTCGGGGTTTCTCCGCACGACAAAGGGTTACATGTAGACTAGCAACAAGGGTATATATGAGATGGTATATTGCGGGATCTTGGAATATCGATGACTATTTTTGATAAATTCTTGGTTTCCGTGATCAGCTTGTTATCGTGCTCGTTATACATCCCGTGGGGCTCTCGCCTTTACTCCGCACTGAGTGTCCACTCAGCGGGCGGCAAGTTATCAGCTTATCTTCCACATGACTTGAGCCACGTGACTACATATGTAGTGTGGAGGGCTTTCTCGCCGGTCACATGTAGCCGTGTCTTGACGCGTTGGGCGCTAAACCTAATTGGCGATTATATGGCGTAATGTGACAGCCCAGAAGTGAACAATTTCCATTATCTGTTCATTGGTCGTCTTTCGCTGTTGAAAATTTTCAATCGAGAGGGTATCGTTGAGAAACAGCATAGGGCCCTGGATACATTTGAACTTCTCCATCGGTCCACAACCTCCTCATCTTCATCATTGCCAAAGCTTGCATCAACTGTGTTGAACGAAGCTGGAGAACCATGGCAGGGAAACGGAAGTCTAATGTTGCTTCTACCGAAGATGACTTGTACGGACAGTCTGAGCGTGCGCCAAAATCCACTCGCACAGCTCCGACTTTGAACACCGAAAAGGCCAGCGCAGGCCAGAGATTCGGCGAGACTGTCGACTACATTCCGTTGGACCAGGACACTAGCCCAGGCCAGAGGTTTGGCGAGTCTGCCGACTTCATTCCACTGAATCAGCTGTCGCAAGTATTTGGCGCCGACGAAGAGGATGAAGAAGCGCTCAACGTAATTCAAGGATCCCAGGAAGTGGATGAAGCCTCTTTAACCAGCTCCATCCTCTATGGTATGCTCCTTTTCAATAATATCCGTTCGCATCGATGTATGCTCTGGAAATTATACTAAATAACGCTAAATAGGTATTGTTTCTACAAACATCGTTGGTGTACGCTTTTACAGGGGCCGTGCCAACCCAGGGGAACGGGTCATCATAAATCGGGATGCGAATAATAAATTCGATAGCAATGCTATAAAGGTTGATAATGTCATGGGCGCCCAAATCGGCCACATTCCGCGGCAAATGGCGGCCAAGCTGGCGTCATACATGGTAAAAATCTCCAATCATATTGCTTCCGAGACATTGCTAACGTTCGTTATCAAAGGACGCTCGCGATCTCATTATTGAAGGCACATTGACTGGTGTGATTGGGGCTTATACATGCCCCGTGGATTTGAAGCTGTTTGGAACTCGCGATCCTACCAGACGATCTAGTCTGAAGCAACGAATGCAGAATGATAGGCTTCCTGTTCGCCAACTGAACGAGTTAGAGCGTGAGGAACACAAAGCAGAGAAAGCAGCCGAGAAACAGCAGAAGGAGGCCGCGAAGAAAGCTCGTGCCATGGCTCTTGGCAAAGCTGCATCACAATGGCAAGCCAACCAGAACTCAGAATATGCGAACCTCTCGAGCCCAACGGGACTCGGTGTCGAGCAGAACGAGAGCTTGGAGGAACTCCTGTCCCAGAGCTCCACCTTCAATCCCCGAGATATTGGCCAGGTTGTGGAAACCTTCGGACAGAAGGAGTCTGACATGGTCAATATGCCAATGGTCGATACTCCAGCCGGCCTTTCCACCCAGTTGCTTCCGTATCAGCGCCAAGGACTAGCCTGGATGATCAAGCAAGAATCGCCGAGCCTTCCTGCAAAAGGCTCTGATGATATCGTTCAGTTATGGAAACGGCAAAACAACGAATTCCTCAATGTCGCAACAAATTATGCCACAGCCACGGAGCCAGCCCTGGCCAGCGGTGGCATTCTCGCTGATGACATGGGCTTGGGCAAGACAATCCAAATCATCTCTCTGATTCTTGCAAATGCAAAGCCTCTCACTGCAGGCTCCTCTAAGACCACTTTGATCATTGCCCCTGTCGGTGTCATGAGCAACTGGAGAAATCAGATCCAGGACCACGCCCACAAGGACACCGCCCCGAGTGTCTTGATCTATCACGGCTCTGGGAAGAAGGAAGCTGCGAACTTGGCCAAGTATGATGTTGTCATCACTAGCTATGGAGCCCTGGCCCTGGATTTCAATCCGAATGCCAATAAGGCGCCTGTTGAGGGCATCTTTTCGCTGCACTGGCGTCGTGTCGTACTTGACGAAGGTCATACCATCCGCAATCCCAGTTCCAAGGCTTCCCTTGCGGCTTGTGGTTTGCGCGCCGACTCCCGCTGGACCCTAACTGGAACCCCCATTATCAACACCCTGAAGGACCTGTACGCGCAAATTCGTTTCCTAAAGTTTTCCGGCGGCTTGGAAGATCTGGGGATCTTCAACAGTGTCTTGATTCGACCCTTGACTTCGGGAGAGCCCGAGGCTCGACTGCTTCTTGAGGCTCTCATGGGGACCATCTGCTTGCGACGTAGGAAGGATATGAGCTTCATCAATTTGAAGTTACCGGAGATGACATCTCGTATCATTCGGATCAAGTTCAACGACCATGAAAAGGAGAAGTACAGTGCTTTCCAGTATGTACCGAGTGATTACCCACACAGTGAGAACAAGTCTGCTAATAACAACCATAGAACCGAGGCCCAAGGCGCTCTTCTCGACTTCAAGGACAAAGATGGCAAGACTAAGTACTCTCACCTCCTCGAGGTTCTTCTCCGTCTTCGTCAAGTCTGCAATCACTGGGCGCTCTGCAAGAACCGCATTGACAAACTCATGGGTATGCTGGAGGAACACAAGGTCGTACCTCTGACACCTGAGAATGTCCGTGCTCTGCAAGAGATGCTGCAGCTCCAGATAGAAAGCCAAGAAGCGTGTGCCATCTGCCTCGACAACCTCGAGCAACCCGTCATAACCGCCTGTGCCCACTCCTATTGCCGGGGCTGCATCGAGCAGGTTATCGAACGCCAGCATAAGTGTCCGCTCTGCCGGGCAGAAATCAAAGAAACCAAGACGCTCGTCTCCCCAGCTGTGGAATTGGGCGAAGATACCGAGACCGTTGAGGCCGACCCCGACGGTCCAAGCAGCAAGATCGAGACCCTGGTCAAGATCCTGACTGCTCAGGGCCAGGCGCCAGGCACAAAGACCGTCGTTTTCAGCCAATGGACCTCATTTCTAGATCTCATTGAGCCACACCTTCAGCAGCGTGGGGTCAAATTCGCCCGCGTAGATGGCAAGATGCAGTCTGTGAAACGCGACAACTCTATCAACTCATTCTCCAACGACCCTGGGTATACCGTCCTCCTCGCAAGTCTGAGCGTGTGTAGTGTTGGTCTCAACCTTGTTGCAGCGAACCAGGTCATCCTGTGTGACAGCTGGTGGGCGCCTGCTATCGAGGATCAGGCTGTCGACCGGGTGTATCGGCTTGGGCAGAAGCGGGAGACGACAGTCTGGAGACTGGTTATGGAAGATAGTATTGAGGAGCGGGTGTTGGCGATTCAAGAGCGTAAGAGGAGTCTTATGCTTGCTGCTTTCCGGGAGACGGCGAAGAAGAAAGCTGAGGATAGAGGTACTCGTGTTGCAGATCTTGAGGCTCTTTTGCAATAGAGGTCCGGCTATACTCGCGGAGGGAACCGCGGCTAAACAATCCAATGCCGTACGCTGCTGGCATTGTGATGTGCCGTTCACGTCTAACAACGAGCTACACATGCAGCTTCGTAGCGAAGGCCAGCAGCACGCTGTTTTTGCACTGGCGGCCACGACCGGTGAGGACCGGGACCAGGAGCAAATCGCACATAAACCGATTATTGAGTCTGACAGATATCACGACACCAGTAATCTGCGAACCTCAACGCCGTCCTTTGAGCAACGCGCATCTGCGTCTCCTACTTCATTTCAGACAGGCGACAGGACGCGACGACACCGATAATCGAGCCACTATTGATGAGGCCTTGTGTCCTGCCGAAGAGCGCCCCCGTCTGCCACGTGTGTTATTATACGGCGACGACAACGTCGCCAAAATCAGTGTCGAAGCCCACGTGGTCGTCGACCTCTCCGCCGGCGTTTTCACGACGTTTTCTCCGGGAATGAGAATGTCTGTCTCTTCTGAGTGTGCGCAATACGTTTTATCAGTCAAGCTGCTAGACAATGATGGAGATCCAGACGACAAACTGACGGTTGAAGAGCGGCAAATAGTCGAGGACCATCTGAAACGGAGACGCCCGAGGATCACCTCAATAAGCGGCTGTTAGTGCTTGGAGGATTTTTTTCTTTCTTTCTTTCTTTCTTTTTCATTTCACAGTGTGCTGGATGAAATAATAAATATTTATTATGAAAAGGGTTACAAAAAAATCTCACATATCATTGCGTACATATGGGTATCACTCAAACAAAAAATGGAAAAAGAGCGCGCAAAATAAAAAATTAAAGTTAAGGGACGACAAGAGCTCACAATCCCATAGAAGCAAGTTGAAGACGTCTAAGTTGCAGTTGATACTCCACGGATTGTTGTTCTTCGGCCGTCAACATGTCCTCCGGGTCCAGTTCGTCACCGCAAAGTTTGATACTGAGGATGGATTCGGCACATTCTGACTTCAGCCTCTCCATCATCTCTACATCCTTGGTGAATGCAATATCCTCAATCCCGCCTTTGTGAGAACTCTCTTCCCAGGGAACCAGGTATTTATCGTCGGCTTTTGAGCCCAGCCGAGCGATATGCTTGTCATCAAGTAGCCGGCCCGCAAGCTGGCTCTTAAAGACAGTCTTTCCGTACATCTTTTCCTCAATTGTTCCGCCAGCGATCAGTCGATACACAAATACCGGCTTTGTCTGTCCAATGCGGTGGGAACGTCCGACTGCCTGCTCCTCGCATGTAGGGTTGAACAGGAAATCAAAAATGACAACTCGATTCGCGGCGTGAATGTTCAAACCGACACCACCAGCTTTAGTCGAAACAAGAAACACGTGAGTGGAGTGGTCATTGTTAAACTTGCGAATTATCTCAGGACGCTCAGCCGTGGCCACTGTGCCATGAAGTAGATAATACTTCCTTTGCGTTCTGTCCATCAATTGCGCCAGATAGTTCAATGTTGGGATACTAGATGAAAAGACCAGGACCTTATCCCCAACTGCAATTGCCTGGTTGACAATCTCATTGAGTATCGACACTCGGCTGGATAGGCTAGGATCCAGCAAGTCAGGAACCTTGCTGAACAGATCATCCAGTTCGGACAACGTCGACCGTGGAAGGATTACCGCTTCGGTAGCAGCATCAAAGCCAGGATTATTAAGGCCGTGGTCATCAACGCTGGGACTTTTTTGTTTGGCTTGTGCGCTTTGGTTTGCTCGGATTTCCAGGTTTTCCTTCAGAAGGGCCGGATGATTGCAGCAGAGCTTAATAGGGGACAGCCAGGACAGAAGCTTCGAGCTCACATTCGCAGTCTTCCCTAGTGGTATACCTCCAATGAGGAGGTTATATGCAGCTTTTTGGAAGCTTGTCAGCTCGAAGTAAACGGAGAATTCGTATTTGGGTGGCAATTTGTTTTTCAGTACGGATGTGTCCGCTCGCTGTACCTTTGGGTCGATGAGCCTAAGGAACACCTCCTGCCGCTGGAGTGCCTCTCTTCGGTCACTCCGGGTACTTTCAATATGTGAGCCATTTTCGATTGGCACGATGAAATCTTCGTTGAAATCGGCAAAGGTTCCCAGGTATCGGGGGGCAATCCAATCGACCATCCAATAATAGTCTTTTAGACCATTGGATAGCGGAGTCCCTGACAGGGCAATCCGTTTCCGGGTGCGGATGCGGCAGGTTGTCTGAGCGATCTTGGTTGTGTTGTTGCGTAACACCTGAGCTTCGTCGGCCACAACAAGATTTGGGCTTTCCAGCAACCAACTCTTGACAGATTCGTTGATCGATTGTGTTTCGGGGTCCTCATCCTGCCCCGCATTGTTCCCGGCGAGATTGCGGAACATTTCGTAACTGATGATGAGCACACCACCCTCGTCATTCCACGCACAAATCTCTTCAGCTCGGTCAGGGCCGGTGGTCGAAAATTTTGCCAGAATAGGGCGGACCTTGCCGAGATTGTGGTTGTCAGGGGACCACAAAGCAAACTCCCTGCACCAATTCTGAATGAGCGATGCTGGACACAGTATCAGAATTTTGAGCTGTCGCAATTCTTCAGGGATTTGGGCTCGAATAGCCGGATCTTGCGAGGCCCCGGCAGTGGAAATAGTAACTAGAAGTGATACCCTATGCGGGAGTTAGCCGAGCCTGAATAAGTCAGTCAACTACCAGGACTTACACTTGCATAGTCTTGCCCAGCCCCATGGTGTGGGCTAACAAGCACCCTTCTGGTCGTTTGTTCTCGACAATTTCCCGGAACATAAACTGAATCCCACGGAGCTGGTGTGGCTGGATCAATCTGCCGATATATGGATCGAGCTGGATAACAGGATCTCGGAACGAAACTGGCTGTGCGGGTATGTCTTCATAGTCAACCCGGGATCGGAGGGCCCGCTCCGCCTCGTATTGATTTGCCTGTCGTTGCTGGCCTTCCTTTTGGGCCCGATTCAGAGCTATTGGGGCGACCTTCCTCTTTCGTGATCGTTGCTGAGGAGGTTTCTTTTCATGAGGATGGACACGCGGCGGCAAAGTCGACCATTTTCTGTGTCCCCGGAGAAGATCATTCAAACATTTCAGGAATGGTGCGAAGTGATCTTCCTCCTCATCCCTGACAACCACAAGTGCAGTCTTGACTTCTTTTGCTGTAAAGGCGCCGGCAGGGACATGGATAACATTAACCCATGACACAAACAAGGCGGTCATCAACATTGTAGAATGACTCTCCTCAGGATCCCACCCCTCCATCACCGATGAATCATCAGACATGTGTATTAGCGCGTCTCGGGCATGTTCTCGATAAACACAGGGCATGTATTTCACGAGAAATACAAAAAGTTGGTTGAGGCGATTGTTCGGCAGACCTGTGAGAGCTTTCGCTACCAGGTGAAGTCTGTTTCCGCTCCCCTCAATAGCTGCCAACGTCATAGAATAGACATCGTCAAAAGCGCACACAGCCTCGTCGGTTTCACTGCCGTTTTCACTCGCCGACTCCACAGACTCATGTGTTTTGAGGCGCCTCGGCTTGACAGGAGAGGTATTCGCCTCAATCTGACCCTCTCCCTCTCCCTCCGACTCCTTCGAGGGCAGCGCCACGTCCCGGTCAAATGGCATAATGGTCGCCGGCATCAGTGGTGAAACTGGACTATCTTGATCCACGCTATTTTCCTCCAGGCGGCGCCTCTTGGCGGCTGGGGGCTCATAATTCTCTTCTTTGAAAAAAAGATGGCTGAGATCCTCATCTGAAGAGGAGTCACGAAACGGTCCGTCTTGATAAGCTGAGCAAGGACGTGGCTCCTCTTGATCCTGTATAGCCTCGTCCTCTTCGGATTCAGAAAGATCAGAACTAAAGGCGAGATGGATACCGTCTTCCGATTGTTCTGGTGGCTCATATTCCGTCTCTTCTCCGGCTCCATACACGGAATCCGAATCCGAACTGAGAGTCTCTTCGCCGTCCGAATTCACAGTGGGCTTTTCTAGCTGTGGGGTGCGTGGCGGACGAGCAACCTTTGGCGGCGGGCTAGTTTGCTCGAGAACGGAAAGCTTCCATTGATACAAGCAAATATCGACCACAGTGGGGTCGAGACATGCGCATGCTTGAAGTAACGACGAGCGGGAAGAATGTTGCGCCTCAGCGAGTGCTTTGCGGAGGCTTTGACAACGTTTCTCCAGGTGGGCTAGCTGTGTCGAAATTTGGCTCTTCATGCTCGGGAACTTTTGACCTTTAGTCCAAATGTAAAATCCTTTCGGCAGCTCTTTCGGCAGACGAATTCCCATGAACTGGGTTTTCCGTTCGTTGATGTATTCATCAACGATCTCATTGAGTTCAGCTTCTTCTAGGTTCCCAGAAGCATCCGGGGGAGTATCCGCGCGGGATTGCGCCTCATCCTCTTCCATTTCCTCGCGGGTCTCTGTATCGTATCCAGTTCCGGAACTGGATTCTCCAAGAAGTGAGAGAACCTCCGCATCGTTTGGGGGGTAAGTATTGACAAGATGATCAAAGAATGCATCGTTTCCAAAGGCGGAATTCGAAGCACGTGGTTCGTTGGGGGGAAGGGTCCCCTGGAAAGAAGGCGCGGGTGGTCGTGCGATGATGGTGGTCTCCATCCGCCGGGGTCTCTTTTCCCCTGTTTGGGGCAGTGAAGGACCATCAAGGACAGCAGGGGGGCTGACGGAGCCATCGGGGGAGACGGTAAGGTCAATCTGATCATTAAGAAGGGAATTGGTATTAACACGAACGTCGAGGCGTTCTGGTGAAAGTTGCTGTCCATTGAAAATTGCTTTGTGGGGAGGCTGCTGTTGCTCCAATTGGAACTTCGGCGACCGTCGCTGTAGCCATTTACTGGCTTTCAGCAAATACTGGCGTTGCGCAATGACCCTTACGCCTAGATCTTTCACATATTCGTCTGTGATCTCAAGAAAACTTAAGCCTGAGATGGAATTTTCTCGGAGAGAAGTCTCCAGAGCCACAAGATCTGGGCAAGCCAAATTGTAAGACCAGTCCCCAGGCTTATCATGGCAGAGAAATGTCACAACCTCGTTGACTGTCCAGTCGTGAGGGTCTTTGGTTGAAGACATGTTGCTGGGGGGGCCTGTATTGGATTAGCGGGCGATTCATTGGTGCCAGGCACGCATTTGTCTCAAGAACGCGACTGGACAAGGGTCAAGTTTCAAGACCTGCGTATTACTTACCATGTCAAGGCCCCCAACATGAGTCAAAGGTGAAGTCAATGCAAACTCAAGTATGTAAAATAATGACCAAGAAATGATAAAGCATTGAACGATACGTGAAAGCTAAAGGAACGAGGAGGTTTGAAAGAAATAGTTCGGGCGGGAGGATAGGAGAGAAGAGAAGAGAAGACAGAAAAGAGAAGCGACAACAAAAGAAAACACGTCCACAACCCTCTTCCTTCCCACCTGGGCAATCAATCTGTGTTAATACGTGAGCTCTTTGTGCCAGTATTTGAATAGGCGGTGAGCTATTTTAAGCTAGAACAAGGGCAATTATTCTGAAAATAGAAGGCGGGAGATACGGGCGGTCTACGTTCACGTCCCCTCAGGTCTCAGGTGTCAACAAATGCCCCGCCAATTACAAATCCCCAGAATTCCTTGGAAGGTCGTCCCGAAGCATCGAGGTTGGAATCTTTGGAAAGTCACGCATCTTGCGCAACTTAGGTCATTGATCATAGAGTGCCCTGTTAAATCAGCTCTTGTTCACTAGAAATATGGCAGAATCAATTTATTCAAACTATCCGCCAGACCTGTCCCCAGCTCAACAAAGGTTTCTCGTCACATCTGTGAAGGACTGGGCTATTCAAAATGGTCTCGCTGTTCGGCCATCCCCAGCAATGATCCCAGCTGGGGCGGATTCAAATGGGGTGCTGGCTACAAATGCGCCAGTGACGTTGTTCCCCAGTCCGTTTCCCAGAACTTGCTTCGAGGAAGCGACTGCTCTCCAAGAGATCTACAATGAACTTTATGCTGCGATAACATGCAATGAAGAATGGCTGAGGGAGATTGTGGAAGGGTAAGAACCTACCCGCTCCAGCACAGTAAATTGCTAATTGTTGGCCATTTGCAGGCTCATTGAAGTTGATGACTTTGTCGCGAATTTGTGGAGGGTTCATCTGGATGTGCAAAAGGAGGGTTATGTTCAAAACCTGTCATTGGGCCTCTTCCGGTCTGATTACATGGCCCATGTTCTGCCTACAGGTGTCCCAGCGCTAAAGCAGGTTGAATTTAACACGATCTCGTCATCATTTGGTGGTCTCTCAGCTCTTGTGCGGCAAATGCACACCGAGCTTCTTACCTCCCCGCCGGGTTCCCCAATCAACTATCCGCCCCATCCTCTCCTACAATCCGAGATTCCACCAGAAAACACCGCAGTGGAAACCCTCTCAGCAGGTTTGGCAGCAGCCCATGCGGCCTACGGGGTGTCCAAGTGCACCCCGGCCCTCCCTCTTTGTGTTCTCTTTGTAGTCCAGGAGACAGAACGAAATGTTTTTGATCAGCATGCACTCTCCACACAGCTTAAGACAGTACACAATATTCCAGTCTTCCGTGTTGCCAGCGTCGATGTCTTGGAACATACGTCCATTCCCAGCTCAAACTCCTCACGGCCATTGTTCTACCACCCCCCTCACTCTCCCGACTCAGCCTTCGAGGTAACAACGGTTTATCTTCGAGCTTACTATTCGCCGGACGAGTACAAATCCAGTCGTGACTGGCTGGCTCGAACTCATCTGGAGCGCTCAGCGGCGATCAAGTGTCCCACGGTGCTCAATCAGCTGTCTGGCTGCAAGAAAGTCCAGCAGGTCTTAGCAGAGCCGACAGGACCAGATCATCTCTCAAGCTTCTTAAAGGGCGTTGATACTGGGCTTGTTGAAAGAGTTCGAGATACCTTCGCTCCGCAATATGACCTGTCGGTTAACAGTAAAGGTCGCGACCTAGCGCTCAATCCAGATACAGCCCTGAACCATGTGCTCAAACCACAGCGTGAAGGTGGTGGCAACAATGTCTACAAATCCGATATTCCAGGCTTTTTGCGATCCATTCCAGAATCTGATTGGAGAGGCTGGGTGCTTATGGAACTTATCAACCCTGCAGCCAATGCCCAAAATGTTGCCTTGCGGAATGATGGCGAGGTCCTTCGAGGAAATGTCATCTCTGAGCTTGGTGTCTACGGTACCATCCTTTGGGAGAATACTGGGAAGATTTTGCATAATGAACAAGGCGGGTATCTGCTGAGGACTAAAGGGAAAGAGGTGAATGAGGGTGGCGTGGCGGCAGGATTCTCCAGCTTGGATAGTGCTCTTTTATTCTAGATAATGCATCTGACATTTACAACAAATAAAAACAGACGGACAGACGAACCAGGTGGGACGACAAGACGAAAAGAGGTGGCAGGAGGATGAGGTGAAACGAAGGCGCGAGGGACGAGGCAAGAGGAACTTTCAAGTCCTTGTATGGGATATGGAATTTGAGAAGAGCAGCTAGGCCTCGCCACTGATAGTCGTGTATTTCAACCAAACTACGTAGAAGAGAGACCAAGCAGATCTGGAGGCCGGCTAAATGCTGAGACAAAATTTACGCAGAGGTGGGCCGAACTACCAAAATACGAAAGGTTTTTCTTTCACTGATTAAACTTCCCTGCAATTCAAATTATTCTACAGTTTCGACCGGCAGGTTGTCCGACAGGCTTCCAGACCAGATGGCCCATCGTAGATCTGTCTCTCTACCAGTCGAGTGTTTATCTAGACAAACATATTGGTCAGTTCCGTTGAAGTCGAAGGTACCAAATTAACCAGCCGGGGCACATATGCAGACGTACATGTTGTTTCCCAAGTTCATCAATACTCTTCACCCCGAGAAGTCGCATGCATGTTTTGGTCTCGTCAGTCAAAACTGAGATCTATCAGTAAGTCACTCCGCAGAAAACCTTAGGTTTCGATGGTCGTACTTTGCAATGTTCTCTTTACGCCATCCACTCCACCGGCCCCCAAGCCCCAGAGTGCCGCTCTTCCTATTCCAACGCCTCGTGCACCCAAACAGAGAGCCTTGACCACGTCAGTTCCCCTCTTGATCCCGCCATCGACCCATACCTCAATCTTGTCGAAGATCTCGGGGCAGTATTTTCGGATTTCGAGCAGGGTGTGGACAGCAGGAGGAGCCGTGTCGAGAGACCGACCACCGTGGTTTGAAAGGATGATTCCTTTGACTTGGGACGTATATTGTGCGGCAATATACGCATCTTCGTGTGTTTGAATTCCCTTAAGAACAATCGGAAGTGTGGTGTGCTTTGCCAACCACGCCAAGGTCTCTGTCCATGTAAGAGAAGGATCCATCCCCTTGAATACTGGGTCTTCGGTCTGCATGATTGGGCCCGTGTCATTGTTGTCACTCTGATACGGAGCCTCAGAACCGATGACGTTGCCGCTGCGTTCATCATCCTCTCTCTTCCCGGTCACGGGGGAATCCAGTGTCAGAGTAATAAATTTGATTGCACTCAATTTGTTGATTCGAGCCAGCATTCGTTCGCTCTTGGCTCGATCGCTCTGCACATATAGTTGCCAGCCAAATATTTGGCCTGGTGCGGCGCCCGCCACAATCTGTTCAGGCGTCATCGAGGCACTGTTTGAAATGATCTGCAAGGCACCGAAGCTGCGACATGCTTCTGCGATTCCAGCTTCACCGGAGGGGTGCCCTAGCCGGGCCATAGCTGCTGGGGAAACATAAATTGGGATAGAGACGTGGTTGTCTAGCAATTTGGTGTTTAAATCACATACGGTGCAGTCGACAAAGACCTTCGGCCTCAGTTGGATGGAGCGGAAGACCTCGGTGTTTTTGTGCTTGCTGATCTTGTCGTCGGATGCCGAGTAATAATAGGCCCACGCCTTTTTGTTCACTATTCTAGTGGCAGCATCTTCAATCTCATCTAAATTGAGCAACGTTTGGACTGGCTTTTGTTCATCCATTTCCCTATGCCCACAAAGTGGGAAAAGCAAAAAGCCGAGCCTCCGGGGAAACAGACATACGAACCGGATCCCTTTTCCTTTTCGGGATTAGTGGGAAGCCGTCAGCTCCCAATCAGGAAATTAATATACGAAGTACTGTACAGTGACTGGACATAAGTTTCTACACTGTCTGGCCCCACCTAGCTCACCGCCACTAAAGATTTATACCGCCTACCTAAAACGCGTAGTATAGTACCACACTGAGATAGTACGTGACGCAAGTCTAGGATGAAGCACCTCTCTAAGGCGATGCTGCAACGGGTGGAAGCTATTATTGAGAGCCAGGAGTGGCATACACCGTACTAGATCCCATATTATGAATTCATTGGGGGTTTTTGACTGGCAGTATATTATATAATCAGAGGGTGTGGGGCCAGACAGTGTAGAAACTTATGTCCAGTCACTGTACTCCCTACTCCGTATACAACATATTATAATATGAACTTGTGGGCTTATGGGCTTTGTTGAATGGAATCTATAAACAACCTCGAAAGTACCAAATTCTTGAGTTTAATCCTACCCCTTCCCACTTCATGGCCCAAGGAGAGAATACATACTTTGGAGCAGTTAGAACGAGAACTCGTGACGATGAATATCTCTGTTTCAAATTTTATCCGATTTTTTAAATTAATTTGGCTTTTTCCTTTTGTGCAACAGGCTGCACCTAGGGTTTTCAATGTTCTACACTAGGACTTGAATCTATAATCTGTAGCACTAACCCTAGCCCAATCGTGATCCAGACGATTCGCGAGAAATTCCCCGTGAAATCGGCATCGACCAACAGAAACACAGAATGGTCCCAAGGTTCCCCTGAAGGGCTAAAATTAAACATGCGGACGTGTCCGTCGACTCCACCCACAGTCTAGATCCCGTTGAAACGGCCCCTGTCAAGCGAACGCCGTTTCACTTTGATTTCCCCTGCCTTTTTTCCCTTTTTCTTCTTGATTTTGCTCTTCTTCCTCTGTATTCTATTCTACTTTCGCTTTTATCTTTCCTTTCTTTTAAAATCTATTGAGATCAGAACCGGCGCAGTTCCGGCTTCATTCACCTTCTTTTTTCCCTTTCCTTTCTAATCTTTACTGTCTCGCAATGACCGACGGCCACAGTGCTCCTCCATCTGATGCGCCGGCACCAGCAGCAGCAGCAGACTCCACTGCTGCGCCAGTCCCCGCAGATTTACGCTCGAACGCCCATCATCATGCGGCAGCGACCCATGAGAAGGAGCAGGCCTCCTCCATTGGCCGCATGACTCCTCGACCAACATTCTTGGAAAATCTGGCTACCTCGAGAGACTCGCAGTTTCAGTTTGATCGACGGGATTCGAGCGAATTGGACCGATACTTTGTAAGTCAATGGGATTGCGACATGGTCTATAGAAGACGAATGAGGACAGGAACATGGTATAGGACAATAGATTGGCGGGCTAACATATTCTTGGTCTAGCATGGCCCCCGGAACATGGAAAAACACTCCAAGTGGCCCATCATGATGCGAATGCACGGCAGCGTCATGCCGAAAATGATCCTGCCGCTTTTGACTGTCGCTATTTGGTCGACTGCTATTACTATCTTTTCGAAAAAGGTCCATTCCCGTGAGTAGTCCCAAGTGATGTATCGAAGAACAGGTTGTAGTTAAATACTAACTCGAATAAGTTGGTATCAACAACATCCTGCTCACCGTGCTGGGTTTCGTGGTGGGTTTGGCTTTGTCATTCCGCAGCTCAACTGCATATGAGAGGTATACTACTGACTCATGTTTATCTTTGACTCGAGCCAGACACTAACCAGGCTTGCACTACAGATGGGCAGACGGGCGCAAATATTGGGCCCAGCTTATTCAGACATCTCGCAACCTCGCGCGTACAATTTGGATCAATACCGCCGAGAGAGAAGGCGAACTAGGAAAAGATGACGTCTTGAGGAAACTGTACGTGATACCCCAGCGGGGTGCATCTGGGTTTTGTTCATTCTAACGAACTCTGTACAGCTCCGCGATTAACCTCATTTTGGCATTTGCCGTCTCCCTCAAACACAAGCTTCGCTTCGAACCCGATATCGCATATGAAGATCTGGCTGGCCTTGCAGGACACCTTGACACTTTTGCTCGCGATGCCCACGACCGCATGGTTGTCAATCCTCCGCCTAAATCTATTTGGAAGTCCGCAGGAGAGTACCTTGGTGTGTCCTTCGCCGAGTCAAACCCTCGGAAGTATGTCAAGCGGTCTAAGAAGCCTCTTGGACATTTACCCCTTGAGATCCTTAACCATCTGTCGGCGTATATCGATTCATGTGTAGCCAACGGCACTATGGTTTCAACTCTGCACCAGGGACAAGCTAGTAAGTCTTCCACCCGAATTTTGAGGTACTCCAATTCTAACACAACAAAGTCACCATGATGGCCACCTTGAATGAGGTTTTGACCGGGACAGAACGTGTCCTGGATACCCCCTTGCCCACCGCATACAGCATTGCTATTGCTCAGATTTCATGGATCTACATCCTGGTACTTCCATTCCAGCTCTACACTGCCTTAGAATATATCACTATCCCAGCATCAATCGGTAAGAACCACTGAATCTTCTCACTTACACAAGTTTACAAGACCAATTCTAACGACCCTAAAGTGGCTGCCTATATCATCCTCGGTTTGGCTACAATCGGCAGTGAAATTGAGAATCCCTTCGGTCACGATGTGAATGATCTTCCACTGGACACTTACTGCCGACAGATCGCCGTGGAAATGGATATCATGACTGCCACTCCACGACCAGATGTCGATGACTTCATGTCGCGTGCTGAAAACCTCGTTCTATTCCCTCTTAGCCAGTTGGGATACCCTGAATGGCAAGAGCGGAGCGTCGAGGATATTCGTGGCGCACTCAAAACCAAGGTGGTTGTCGGCCCGTCATCGGCGGCGTCAGATACATCTACAATGGTGGAAAGCATTCGCCCCAAGACCACTACATCATCAGTCTGATCTTCCTTGCAGATTTGTCATCAACAACCAAGAGGAAGGTAACCTTCTTGGCAGGGATGAGAATGAACTGTGCATTTAAATAAACGACATCAAATTGTTTGTGATAATTGACCAGCGTGTGAGTTATGGCGTTTTTATCTGAGTCATGTTGACTCCAAATTGAACCACCAAAAAAAAAAAAAGGAAGTTCTTGCTTGTCTCGCAGTTACGTACATAGATTGATATTGGCTTCAAATCCATTCCTTTTCTTGCTTATTACGCACGAAGTTGCCAAAAGTGCTAGATATCTTCAGCCGCCGATGTAGGTCAAGTGTCTGGGTCTCATCCCGTCCTAGGGAGCCTTGGATGACACAAGCATAGTCTCAGGCACTCCATTTTGCCAGGTTCACGGTATCAGACCAAGTCAATCCCGTTCCATTTGGAGCTGGCATCGTCGTCGTATGTATCGTGAGTGTTGGGGCGGTACTGCAGCAGCCGTGCAGCTACATCTTTGCCATGCCACTAGTCCCACGCATTAAGCACGACAGCACGCGCAAATTGCTGGAAAGCCGCATGGGCCTCGCCACGACCCGAGGGTAATTATTTGACAGAGAGTCAAATATATAGACTAGCCATAGTTCAAAATCGTTTCTCGTAGCACTTGCTCCCGAGTAGTACAACCCATAAGCCTAGGGAACGAACAAATCGGCCCCGGAGCCGGCAACCAGGGCGCCTAGGAAGTTTCCCTTGGCGCAAACCCTCCATGCAACATCCGCAGAGCCTGCCGAAGTATTTCCGCCGCCAATCCATGAACTCACTGCGCTCACGACGGCTGAGGCATCCTCGCGAGGGACGCGAATCCACACAATGTCGTGTTTCGTGGTTGAGGGAGGTCCATTTTCGATCTTCAGGATATCGATCGGAATGGCTGTTCCTGTCAGGCCGAGGAATTGTGACAATGCGGAGGAGAGGTAGGTTCGTGCGGATAGGGGATCGAGGGGCTGTAATGCACTTCCTGGTTGGGAGATACTAGTGTGTCATGGTTAGCTTCATTTCTACCTGAAAAGTCCTGCCTAAAGGCGAACGAAGAAAAGCCGATGGGTAGCATACAGCTTGAGCTTGAGGTACGTCCAGGGTGGATTGCGCGACGTGAAATGGAGAGTCTTTGGCTTTGGCTCTGGCGCTTTGCGCTTCGCAGTTTCCCTTAAAGGGATATTCGTGTCAATTTCCATGTCGCTGTATGTATCCTGCGTCATTCTGGCTGGTTTTTCGGACTTTTCGGGGTGGTCGCAGGTTGATGTTCGCCCGGAGCTCCGCCAAAGAAAAAGCAGTGACGAGATTTTGCGTCACGGGATCAAACAATACTCGACTTGAGTCAAATATATGAGCTAGCGAGTGGGAATCAACAGGCTCTGTATTCGAAGTTCATGCTAGGAGTTTCGGGTCTTGACTGCGGCCTTTAATTTCTGTGTCGCACGCTGCAGGTATGCTTCTTCGCCGTCGTCTCCGATCTCCAGGTCGGCAACACACAATGTTTTCTCTCGCGATTTCGCGCCACGAATAACTTCGACACTCGATTTTGGAACTTTGAAGATCTAGCAAATAGTCAGATGAAAATTTGTGACCTTGTTCCATAGACAAGATGGGAACAAAGAAAACACATTAAGGGGTAATTCCCACCTCTGCGAAGATATGCGACACTGCAATATTAGCTGCCCCGTCACGTGGAACAGCAGCCACGGAGATCTCGACTTTATCAATACCGACCTTTGTTATACCTGTGCGGAGAGCAGAGGAGTTTGGCTTCACATAACATGGGATGTGAAGGTTGAACATTTTGCGAGAACATGGGGTTTTGCTTGCGAGGAGCCGGAGGGAAGAATATGAGCAGGACATTTCTAGCTGCGATCAAGCCAATACTACGTAGAATTGTGGACGCGGAATGAAGAGGTTTGAGTAGAATTGATCGAAGTAAAACTAAAAGCAATTGATAAAGTGGCCAAGACGATCATAGTTCGGCCCTAAATGGACGAACCTCCCTGTCTGAAATCCCCGAGAAATAAAATCCCATAAGCATACAAGAACGAGAGAAGCAGCAATAATCTGATCTCGTAGATCATGACTTTGCATCTTGAGCTGCAATCAAACATATTCGGCGTGACGTCCATTCTCGTCGGCTTTGATATGCTTCTCTGGAACACCAACGGTCCCGGGGGCTGCGGCATAATCCTGGGTGACCTGGTAAAGTTGGGGGCAGACCGCATCCTTGCACATCAGGACATACCTTCTAATCCCCCATGGTAGAACCTGGTAAGTTGGTATTTGGCATGAGTTCGGGTCAGAACGCCAAACACATAGTCATGTTCTTCAAGAGAGCGCTACATGGTTCCTGGCACAAAAAGGAATATCAAAGCAAACGCAACGACATTCAAGCCGGCCTAGAATCCAAAGGCACCCTGTGGAGTAAATGCTCGCAACATCCATGTGAATGTCAGCGAGAGAACAGAAGCCCAGAAGTTATTGGTTGCAACTGCCCAGGCCATTCCAACTTCACGGTGGGATAACGGAAACACCTCGGCAGAGTAGGTAAAAGGAAAAGGTCCCTCTCGGGGAGAATAGAATGCGTCAAAGAGGTAGACGAAGAATGGGATCATTCCAATGTGCGCGTTGCTGCTTGTGGGAATCCAGAAACAGAACCCAGCTGCAAGAAGTGTCCAACACATCTGTGGGAAGGTGAAAAGTAGCAATCCTCGTCTGCCAAATGTGTCGATCGTCCAAATGGCGGGCCAGGCAAACGCGAAATTGATAAGGCCGAACCCGAATGATGCAAGAAGTGCTTCGATGTTTGACGCACCGGCAAGTTGAAAGATAGTCGAGGAGTAGAATGAGATGATATTGACTAAAAGGGAGGATATATTAGTTCAATTCTTTTCCTGTTTGGAGTTTTGTACTTACTTCCGCACATCTGCTGGGCGGTCATCACAATGCCAGATGCTTGAACGGCACGACGCAAGCGGGGCACTGTGAACAATTCCACAAAACAAACAAACATGTTGTCGCTCTTGGAGAATCTGGACTCGGCAATCAACTGCCTCTCCGTCTCCAGCTGAGCGTGGATCTGCTACAAATCTCTAGCGGCCTGTAGAGGGCTATTGCGCGGTCTGAGAAGAGATGCAAAGGCTTTCTTGTGGTTTTTCTTGGTCATCAGCCATCGTGGAGATTCGGGACAAAACCAGATACCAAGAAGCAACGGCACAGCTAGAATAAATGCAGAGCCTAGCTGTATTCGCCAAGCAATATCACCAGTGTTGGCCACAATGAGGTTCGCGCACGTTCCGAGGAAGATACCAAAGGCCGTCCAAAGCTGCCATGACATAACCAGGCCGCCTCAATGTTAGTGGGTGCGTTTTCTATTGGGTGTAGTTTAGCTTGAGGACGGTACTCATGAATGTCTGAGAATTTATAGATCAAAAGCACCTACCAGCCGAGTAAACAGGAACAGTGACTTCCTTGAGACCCATGCCAAGTCCGAGAAGAACACGACAGGCAACGAGCTGAACCCAATGCTGAGTAAAACTTGAGCCCAGAGGAGCTAGGAGACTGAAGATTGCAGCCAGGAAGATTGTACCACGACGGCCGAGAATATGATTCAGGGTATCGGAGAGCCACGCAACACTATAGGGTGATATATGTCAGAAAATTGCTTGAAGGTACAACAAGTATATCACTCACAATAGACAGATCGTAATGTATGGAGATGCATTGATAAAACCAACGATCCACTGGTTACGCTTGCAGGTCTCCGGGTCAGGACATTAGGGGGGTTATTTGGGATACCAAACTGGACATCAAATGTCAGGTTAGCACCGTTTGAACCTATAAAAAGCATTAGCCAAGACGGGCATGGACGCTTGAACGATGTATTATTCTGACCGGTCTGATCGCAGCCTTGGATAGCTGCCGAGATCGAGTTTAGAACGATGGTGTAGTATAATGCAAATGGGTGTTTCCAGCGCTGAGTGTGTTCCGCGTAAAGGATACGGCGGCGATCATCATTGAGTTCGGAAATTTCTTCGATCCCCGCTGGGGACTGAGCTAGCAGAGCACCTTTATGCAAGAGGGGCAAAATATTCTCAATGTCATATCCGGTAGCATAAGCAGTCACGTCTGCCATAAGCTGATCGTGAGGAATTTCGGCGAGGGGGTTTTTGATCCTATTGCATATCAGTTTGACCTGAAGTGAAAGACAAGAGTCACCTCAACCAGCACAGATTCGTGCTACGTTACTTACTCCCCGGTGACATTTTCGGTCATTCTAGTTGATGGGTCAGTACCAGAGCTTGGGTAGAGTGGTGGTCATTATGTGGCTACCTACCCCCCAACCGCGTCGTTCCCAGTTGAATCAGGCATCTTGATGCGTGACAGCTTTCCTTGATGAGAAAAATCGAAGCAGAGAGACTGTAGTTGAATGTCGTTGCGAAATGAAATGTAGTCAAGCTCTGGATTTAGCTCAAAGGATGAGAAGGTAGAGGAGAGAAGATTCCGATGGATGGGAAGCAGACGGAAAGAGCTCAAGAACAAATACAGATGGCAGTCAAAATGAAGCAGAAAAGTTTTTGGGGTTATGTATGCACATACGTGCCTACGCTACCTAGTAAAAGATTAGGCGAATTTGTCAGACAACCAAAAGAAAGCCTCAACATATTGGCAGCCATGTTGCGCCTTGTGTGGGCATTTAGGTGCTACAAATATAAGAACCCATCCGTCGTCCCCAGCGCCCCGCTCCTACTTACCAGTGACCCTGTATTCTGAGCATTGGGATAGGTTCATGCAGGCCGTTTTGGATAGAACGCCACCGGGCAGAAGACCAAGGCTTAGTTGAGACCACCTTGCGGATGGAGCTTTCGGATGCGAGCACGATCGATGGCTTTGGTTCGAAGGGTCTCAGTTTATACAGTCAGCAAAAGAAACACAAAAGGCGTCTGGAAAGTAAGTACATTGCACCACCCTAGAGGAGCATGGTATAGAAGCATATCCCTAGGCAAGAGTGCCAGCGATTTTCGGGGCTATCATGTAAACCGCTTAGTGTGTGGCTTTTTAAAGTAGAAAGGTATACTGTTGCAACCTTGGAATGTCGAGAGTATCAGCAAGGGTTCAGAGTCCTGCCGAGTATAGGTTGGCTAGGAAAATGCACGGTGCTCTCGACAGTATTATAATGGGCAGGTCAGCATGCATATCCACACTATCCAATACCCGGGCAGCTACAAGTCTATGTACCTTATCTCAAATGGCCTATTGAAACCAAAGCACGCTGTGCTACACCATGAACTGGACCCAGGGCTGTGGTGCACTGTTCCACGGCAGTTCCTGCGCTTGTTGCTTTGGACTTACACCAGGTACTCCCTGTCATTGATTCTAAACTCTCGTTTGGTGCACGTGCTCTGTTGCTACTAGAGGGTTTTCACTAGTTTCTGTAGAAGATATCAAGCGGGAGAGCAAAAGGTGATAAAAACTATATGTATTTGAGATATAAGAGACGTTTGAAGCCTTCAATCGCTCTTTCTGCATTCTAGTCTTGCATATGAACCCTTCTGCCCTCAGTACATATAGGGTAGATACTCCATCTTCTTAGATAGGCATTCAGCTGTCTTCCGTTTATTACTTCTCGCTCTTTGTCCATTACTATTCATTTATCTTGGGTTTTGTTTTTAATTTTGCTAATTATCCTCCCTTCTCGTCTATACTGATTCCTTGGTTCCTTGTAGAAAGTGGGAGAGTGATCCACTGACGACAAGTCACCTCAAATTCAAAAAAGATTCAGGTATATTGAATTGTAGATGAACTTTCCGTAGTGCGTAGCGTGACTCCAATTAAGACGCTAATTATTTGAAACGCGCTCTAATGCCCAACCTTCGATGTCAAGATAATGGTCGATTTAAGATTTGCCCTATCGCGGAAGCTTGTTACTGCAGGACAAAGTTGAACCACCTAAATATAGGAAACCTCGAGCTCTTAAATTTGCGCTCGCTGGCATTGAGGGCTGGGTTTCATTCTTTGAAGATCGCAATCAATGGGAGGAAGAATTCGAGACCAGCGCATATGCCAGGTCTACAAATTGAAGTTTCACCAAAAGCATATCTAAAAGCTAGCCCGGGATGAGATATTTTAAGCATTGGTCGGTGGAATCTTGGAATGAACTCTCTGCTAGCCGACGTAGACATGTGCTCCACAAGAACTGAAGATCATGTCCAATTTTATACTCTCAGTTGCAATTTTGGTCTCAATTTTTTAGGTGGCGACAACCATTATATATGATCATTAAATTCCAGTCTCCGATTTTGGGCACAACTCTAAAGGCAAAATAGCCAGAAAATTAGCGGAAGGCGATTTCTGCCGAAGCACCTTGGGGTTGTTACGCTTCTTAGTCTCGGCCCATTGTTTTACATGTGCCAGGGGTTATGTTAGACGCTGCTCGTACTTATTTCGAGTCAGAGTCAAATGATATTGCATTGATGGTGCGAAAGTAAAGTGGAGGACGGGGATCCAAAAGGTGTGCCCATCCTCACCAGATGAACGGAGTAAATGTATGTATTTTGTACAAATTAACTACATAGTCATATACTACTTATAATCCTTTTGTCCCAATGGAACTAGTTATCTCAATAGGTACAATTTAGGTGAAATTCAAAACCTCATTAATTTAAAAGCCTCGGTTCACCCCGGCCCCCTGGGTCTAGGGTAGACGCGGGGTCAATGCTCTTTTACTTTCTCCCAAACGCCAAATGTTATGATTTGACGGTCCTCCGTGCCTGAAGCGAGCCGGAGGTTTTCAATGTCCTCTCGCGTTATTACTTAACCTCTCACAAGCCTCAGATCCCAGATCCAAAAGCCCGTGGGGCCGAAGATGGAACTATGGGGCTCTGGATACCTATCATTATCCATTCCACTTTGCAACCTTCGGTCGTGTTACCATTTTTGGTATGGCGTGGGGTTTTGTATTTAGCGCTCATCTTCGCCCTTCCAAGATTTCTATATGGATCTGTTCTTGAGGCAACTCTCTCACGAATCATGTTGCGGTTTTCCCCCGGAAAATCCAATCTTCCTTGATCGACTTTATAGTTCGGTATTGGGGAAAGAAATAGGTCCCGGCACTCACTGTACATTATATCTGCCCCATGTCCCTGGTGGGGTGTTTATTTCATTTCTCTTTCCTTGATCTACGCAATCTACCCGTATGAGTTGGCTCTCTTCACTCCCTTCAAATCTTGATCTTCGACCTTCCAATTGCTAGCTTGGGTTATGGCGATGGCACCTGCCTAGGCACGTAACTTATTTTCTTTGTACTTCGATACCCCATGTTATTTTTCTTCTTCCTTGCACGAATACGACTATGAAACTCCCTCCAGCAGCCATTGTGAAATCATGGCCAACCCCAAACTATATCGACCCTCCCACGCGCGGGCACGGCGTCCTCATCGTGAATGTTGTCTGTCTCTCCTTAGCCTTCCTAGTCGTCTCCCTCCGTCTATACACCAGGCTCAGGATCACATGCAGCGCCGGTGTCGATGATGTCCTAATTGTCATCGGTCTGATCTTCGCCATCGCAATGGCCACAGTCACCTCAATCGCCACTGAACATTGGGGCATGAACCGCCATGTCTGGGATATTGAATTGCTTCGACTCGTCACTGTCCAAAAGCTGAACCTCTGCTTCCAAATAATGTTCTCGCTGTCGTGTTGCTTCACCAAGATATCTCTGCTGTGGTTCTGTCGACGACTCATCGGGAAGGGCAACTTCGTGCTATATAACTGGGCGTTTATTCTGTCGATGGTTTTTGTTGGCCTTTCTAGTTTTCTGTTCACTATTATCAGTATCTTTCAGTGCTCGTGAGTTTGTCGTCTTTTGCCATGATGGTATCGGGCCGTTGCTAATGTTTCCTATAGGCCTATCCGTGCATACTGGCAAATTAACCCCACCGAGTCATACCACTGCATGAACGATGGTGCAATTGTTTTCTCCGCCAGTGTGATCAACATCTTCACCGATTTCCTGGTCACGACGTTACCAATGCCATTGATATGGAGTCTGAAACTGCCCGCTCGTCAACGGCTCGCCGTTATCTCCATCTTCGCCCTCGGTGTAGTAGTTAACGTAGCCGGCTCTGTACGAACTGTGTATGTATGGAAGAGCATGGTGACCGGCTATGATGCGACCTGGCTCGGATGGCCGGTACTGATCGCTGCGGCAGTGGAAATCAGCCTGGGATTGGTAAGAGACCAACAGTCTCGCTATTAGAGATGCCCAAGGCTAATAATCGACAGATCTGCTCTTCGGCCCCAGCGCTCCGCCCCCTCATTGCAGCCTTCCTGCCTCGCCTCCTCAGCTCAACCCGCAACCTCTCCTCCTCCTACAACCAACGGACTCGCTCCCACAAGCTCTGGTATTCAACCGGCCGCTCCCGGACATCCCGTCTTGTTGCCGACGATCCGCACCAGCCCAGTTACAACAGCGATCGATTTGAAATTATGCGCACTGTCGAGATGGAAAGCTGGACTGAGTCACGACTCGCGAACCATGACAAGATGGGCCACGGTTATGATATCACGTCCGACACCCATAGCCGTCCTGTCACCCCCGCGGATAGCATTGAGACGAAGAGGAGCATGGTTTATGCCTCTCCGAGGAGTGCTGACTCCTGTGCGTCTGGGCATTCTCCTTCCGATGATCGGCGGCTGCGTTAACCGCACTGTTTTAGTACATTACTTTCTTCTCTTCTTTTTTCTGTATGAACGTGTATGTTATTCTGAATGATTTTATTGTGCTGGAAGGGATACTTGACACAAACAATGATACAGCTTGTACATCTAATCTTGAGACTATCATGACTCTAATGATCACTTGTTTAACAAGATGGACATAACTAACCCAGTAACTTCAATACGTAGTCACTTGTCTCCTAGTCCACGGGTGCGATCTATCTGATATAATATAGGTATATTTTTCTTCTATAATAATGTAGGTTTCCTATAAGTATTAATAGTAATCCGAACGTATTATACTAAAGTAATTATAGCTATAAAGAAAAGCCTCTTAGCACTTCGACAACATCATCCAATATCATGAGTCACCGTAGTTACCCTGGATATTCAACATACTTACCAGGGAAGGAGCGAACATACACAAGGAACCTAGCTGTATCCGGAGAAATTAGTGAATGAACTTACATGTCTCCTGAGAACAACCACCCATGGACGACAACACTGAAAAGCAAAGTCAGCGGGCTGACTCACCTGGGCACTCCGCAGAATGACTAGTCCAGTATCATCGGTTTCTTCAGCGCAATCTTTGTGCTTCTCGTCCTCTGCCTCTTCCTCGCGACCCATCACCCCCATTCTCACAACAAAACTGCCTCTTCCCGACACTGCAACATCCCCCAAGATGTAGCAACCTGTTTTGCGCATCGATCCCTTTATCTCACCAGAGAACCCCCATGTTGGCAACCTGCCGCTTGGTCGCTTCCGTCCTGTCTGGACTGAAGAATATGCGTACCCTGCACATGTCCCCGAAGACATTGTAGAGTGGATACATCCTAATACTGGAAGTAAGTAGAGCGTATTGAGTTTACTCGAAACACGCTTCAGAGGTGACTGGCCGCTCTTTAGGACACACTAAATATATCAGCGACTTAAGTAGCTTATTTTGCCTTATAGGGTTTGATGAGTTGATACGTATGATCGATGACCCCGCCTACAATCTATAGGACGAGATCGAGTCTGTCCGATCGGGGCAGAAATCGGCTGGCTCCTCGACCTATTGTTAGACGCTGGGAAGATATTACGGGTTATTCTACCACAAATACGCCTTTGATCGTCGCGCGGTCTCGTGAGTCATTTCCAAACAATGATCAGCCTCGACCCCGGGATATGACACGTCCACTGCCGATTCGACCATGCGCCGGAAACACAGTATTGCGCTAGTTCCAACCTTGCGAGGTTGTGTGGATTGTGATCGGCAAATGGTGCTTCCAAGGTTCCAAGCTGGTGCGCTCTTAGCTCATCTTCGTTGACTACTTGTATGTATATACTCTAAGATCAACCCTCACTTTGGCGTTATTCCACCCTAACCAACTGAGTTATGGAACCGTGTTTGAATAACTTCCAGTCTTACGCTCTATACCAACGCCATTTTCCAATTCAAAATTTACCAATGGGAAAAAGGTCATATACTTAGCGAGACGCCTGACCAGGTATCCTCACAAAAGTCTTCTATATTACACTCTCGCAGAGAGAGAAAGAAAATTGAACCCTCTATAAAAAGAGGCAAAAAGATGGACTCGCGGGGAATCGAACCCCGGACCACTCCCATGCTAAGGGAGTATTATACCACTAAACCACAAGCCCAGTTGATTGGTTGATTGTGCGAATTGAATTTTAATAAGGATGTCCACACAGGTGAGTTGAGGTCAGGTCACCGACCAAATTCAATCCAAACGAGCATAAATAAAATAGTTTAGCTTATTATTAGTTCATATTACACTATATCCTCCTTGTTTTCATAATAAAATACGCCAATGGAACTTTATGTTGCATGTTTATTGGGATCGTCCACCGATATATATCAAGATTCCACAGGCAGTCCTAGTTTGTACAACAAGATCTGTTTCATCAATTGAGCCAATATATTACGAAATAAAAAAGAATGTATCAGGTACTCGTACATACGTACTATAAATCGAGATGAAAGGCCCCCTTGACCTCCCCATTCCAACTTTGATATAGTTAAGACGTCATGGCGACGGGGTACATATGTAGATAAGAAACGATGCCAAGACTCAAATTAGCTTATCACAGATGCCGGATCTACAGTAGGGACATGAAGACCCTGACTTGGCCGTTTTTGCCATATTCCCATGACTTGACCCCAATTGAGATAAATACAATGACCGCCCTGGGATGTTCAAATGGAAACTCTTACCATATAGATTTGACCAAGAATCCACCAGCGTAGACTTTCTCAATTCGTCCAGATACCCCATCGGATGCTCGGCGTTTCGCCGTCGAGGACAGCCCCCGATTGGTCAATATCACCGACGCAAAAGCAACATACGCGGGGAGAAGCTATGGAGCTCCAGGACAAGGCCGATAACATAGTCCAACTGCACCTGGTATAAAGCCACGCCTGCGCCTGTCGGTGTTCCATTATATTTCACCTGTCCTACATCTGTTGCTCTCTTCCACCCGTACCCTGATTAACCAGGGGTCCTTTCATCTACACCGGATAGCTCATTCTCTCCCCACATCATTCATCTTATCACTCCACATCCCTTCACAAAATCACAATGTCCTCGGTCTTCCGTGCCAGCACACGGCTGCGCTCTGCAGCTCGCCTTCCGGCAGCTCGCGCTCTTTCTACCACTGCCGGTCTGCGTGCGGCGGAGAAGCCTTACTTTCCCAATGAGCCCACCGCACCCTCCGTCTCGGGGACAATCCCCGGACCTAAGAACCAGGCCGCCGCCGCCGAGCTCGACGAGGTCTTCGATGTTCGCAGCTTGAACATGTTGACTGACTTCCACCAGTCCGTTGGAAACTAGTATGACAGAACCCAACCTACCAACCTACCATCAAGACTCGACTAACCGCGCCTCTAGCATCGCTGATCTCGATGGAAACAAGCTCCTTGATGTGTAAGTCATCAACATTGAGTCAATTGGAAATAGAGAAGCTGACCCCAGTAGATACGCTCAGATTGCCTCTATTCCCGTTGGATACAACAACCCCCATCTCCAGAAGATTGCCGCCTCGTCCGAGATGGTCTCCGCCCTGATTAACCGCCCTGCCCTGGGTAACTTCCCCTCCTCCGATTGGGCTCATGTTCTCAAGACTGGCGTCCTCCGTGCTGCCCCGAAGGGCCTGAACCAGGTTTTCACTGCCATGGCTGGCTCTGATGCCAACGAGACTGCCTACAAGGCGGCCTTCATGTACTACCGCCAGATGCAGCGTGGTGGCCCCGGAGCTGAGTTCACTGAGGAGGAGCTGCTCTCCACCATGAACAACCAGAGTCCCGGCTCGCCCCAGCTGTCCATTCTCTCTTTCAAGTCTGCCTTCCACGGACGTCTCTTCGGCTCCCTGTCCACCACCCGCAGCAAAGCCATTCACAAGCTGGATATCCCCGCCTTTGACTGGCCCCAGGCCTCTTTCCCCCAGCTGAAGTACCCGCTGGAGGACCACGTGCAGGAGAACGCCGCCGAGGAGCAGCGCTGCTTGGCTGAGGTTGAGCGCCTCATCAAGGAGTTCCACAACCCCGTCGCTGCCGTGATGGTCGAGCCCATCCAGTCTGAGGGTGGTGACAACCACGCCTCGCCCGCATTCTTCCAAGGTCTCCGTGACATTACCAAGCGTACCAACGTCCTCTTCATCGTGGACGAGGTACAGACCGGTGTTGGTGCCACCGGTAAGTTCTGGGCCCACGATCACTGGAACCTGTCCTCTCCCCCAGACATGGTCACCTTCTCCAAGAAGGCCCAGACTGCCGGTTACTACTTCGGTAACCCCGCACTGCGCCCCAACAAGCCCTACCGCCAGTTCAACACCTGGATGGGAGACCCAGCCCGTGCCCTGATCTTCCGCGGAATCATTGAGGAGATTGAGCGCCTCGGCCTTGTTGAGAACACTCGCACCACCGGTGACTATCTTTATGGTGGTCTCGCCCGTCTCGCCGAGAAGTACCCCCAGCACTTCCAGAACCTCCGTGGTAAGAACCAAGGTACCTTCATCGCCTGGGACACACCCAAGCGTGACCAGTTCATCGCTAAGGCCAAGTCCTTCGGTGTCAACATCGGTGGCAGTGGCCCCTCTGCCATCCGTCTCCGCCCTATGCTGATCTTCCAGAAGCACCACGGTATGTTAACCTTTTCTCTCCTTGTGCCCAAGAGCCATTTACTAATGTGTTTTCGTCCGACAGCCGACATCCTCCTCGAGAAGATCGAGCAGATCGTCCAGAACCTCTAAACGAATGCCGGCAATGACCTTTAAAAGTGCCCGGGCGTTTTCGATTGGCTTAATGAGCGTTTCTTTTTTCTCTTTTCTTTTTCTCTTCTGGAGGGTTCAGCTTTCTCCCTCTCCTGCCACGACTTTATGTCACTACATAAATGCCATATATGTTCCTGAACATTGTGCTTGTCCACAATTGAGTTATCACTCGAACCGAACCATTGGGACCGGAGTAGGGACATATACTCTGCAAGCCTTCTTTTATCTTTTATGTCACCAGCCGAAGAAACCGGAACTATAAACTCCTAAGAAGTAATCCAAATCTGCTGTGTATGCCCTTGTGGTCCAATAAATAATATGAAGAAAAGTAGGTAATGCTTCCCATCCGAAACTCCGAACGACCAGCAAAATTGTCGAAACCACCCTCATATTGCATGTCTTGATTGAATCAATGGTGTGTGCGTGGTAGGGGTATCCAGAACCAAGACTGTATGGGAGAGGGTGGGTTCGTGTAGCGCTAAAGACTTAAGGGTAGGTGCTTTATGCATCTTCCTCGCCAGTGCTTCCGTCTCGTCTGGAACAAACCGTTAGTATGAGAAGGGAGACATCTAGGAAATAGTGGAATGAGTTCGAGTAACACGTACGGGACATATTTGATGCCGGAGTCTTCTAGACTGTTGATAATGTATTCCGGAAGCTGTCAATGTGAAAGACAAAATTAGCCATCCTGAGTTTCGCAAGAGGGATAGTAGGCTCCAGGAAATTGAAAAAAGAGTCCCATATCTCAAGTAATCAAGTATGCACTTACTGTCCCCGTGACCTTTGTCGCATATGTGCCCGGCACGTAGTTATCCAACCGCTGCCAACGAGCGACCCAGCTCGCAGCCGGATCCCGAACAGCGATCAGGCCCTCAAAGACCTGTGACGTGCATTCTTGAATAGCATCGTTGTTCCCACGGAGTTGGAGGGTGCTCTCGCAATTTGGGCAGCCTTCACGCATGAATTTCTGGAGTAATCAGGGTCGTTAGAGTCGCCCGGAACGGAGATGGGGAGTAGCTCTTACATTGTGGATTTGGACGACGGAGCAGACCATGCAGGCGCGCAGAGTGCGCTGCTGGTTTGGAGGGGCGTAGAAAGACATGTGGAGGAGGTATGAGGATGTGAAGAGAGAAAGAGAGCTATGAATGGAAGTTAAGCGTCAAGCCTTGGGTGGATGCCAAGACCCGTTGCGATCGGGGAAAAAGAACATGGGAGAAGCAGGAACAAGACTCTCTTCTCTCTCTCTCTTTTTTCTTTTTGACCACGCTTTCGTCTTTTCTTTTCCCTTCTCTCTTGGTCTATAGTGGATTTAGAGGAGTTTTATTCTTTTTTGACATTTGTCTCTCCCTCTCTTCCGGCTCGTATAATAGTCACATTTTCCTCCGTGCGCTTGTTTCGCACCGATAATCGCTGTCTCGTGCACGCATTTTCTCTCCGCCTAAATGGCTACCGATCAAGAAGTGGCCACTGCGCTCAAGGTGCAGGGAAACCAGGCCTTTGCTCAGCACGACTGGCCTGTCGCAGTCGATTTTTATAGCCAGGCTATTGCCAAATTTGACAAGGATCCATCCTTCTTCTGCAACCGGGCCCAGGTGTGTTCCCGACGATCATGAGTGGCACATGCCCAAGAGTCGCATGCGTGTTCGCTAGGATCGACATAGCTAACAGTCTTCTTTTGTTTGGTGTCATAGGCTCAAATTAAGCTTGAAGCCTTCGGCTTTGCTATTGCGGATGCCACCAAGGCAATCGAATTAGATCCCAACTATGTGAAGGTTATTATTAGCCGATATCGAGGATTTGTGGAGATATATGCTAAATCCATATTCATCGCAGGCCTACTGGAGACGTGCCCTCGCCAATACTGCCATTCTAAGCTACAAGGAGGCCTTGAAAGACTTCAAGGCCGTGGTTAGACGCGAACCGGCCAATCACAATGCCAAGTTGAAGGCTGCCGAGTGTGAGAAGCTCGTGCGCCGTAGAGATTTCGAGCGGGCCATTGAGGTCTCAGACCCGCCTTCTGCTTTTGCAGACTTGGACATCGATGCTATCAATGTTGAGGACAGTTATGATGGTGTGCGCCTTGGTGAGGAAATGTCGCAGGAGTTCATCGATGATATGATTGAGCGCTTTAAGAATGGAAAGAAGATCCATCGCAAATATGTCTTCCAGATCGTCAAGGCTGTTAAGGATCTTGTATACAACGAGCCTACGATGGTGGAAATCGGCGTGGAATCGGGCAAGAAGCTGACAGTCTGCGGTGATACGCACGGTATGTATTGTCTTATGTTGCGGTGAGTGAAGCAGTTGCTGATTGAACAGGCCAATACTTTGATTTGCTCGAGATCTTCCGACGAAACGGCGCCCCCTCCGATACCCACGCTTACCTCTTCAACGGTGACTTTGTTGACCGTGGCTCCTGGTCCTGCGAAATCGCACTGCTGCTCTATGCATACAAGTGGTTGCGTCCCAACGGTCTTTTCCTTAACCGTGGAAACCACGAGACGGATGATATGAATAAGGTCTACGGCTTCGAAGGCGAGTGCAAGGCTAAATATAACGAGCGTGTCTTCAAGGTGTTCTCCGAGTCCTTCTCGGCTCTGCCGCTGGCCACCTTGATTGGTGACAAGTACCTTGTCCTGCATGGTGGTCTCTTCTCCGACGACAAGATCAAGTTAGATGATATCCGCAAGCTCAACCGTCACAACCAACGGCAGCCTGGCCAAGCGGGCCTGATGATGGAGATGCTCTGGACAGACCCGCAGACCGAGGCTGGCCGCGGCCCCAGCAAGCGTGGTGTCGGTCTCCAATTTGGCCCTGATGTGACTAAGCGCTTCTGTGAAAACAACGGCCTGGAGGCTATCATTCGCTCCCACGAGGTGCGGATGGGCGGTTACGAGGTTGAACACGATGGTCGTTGCATCACCGTCTTTTCTGCTCCCAAGTACTGCGATGCAACTGAAAATAAGGGTGCTTACATCAACATCGGCCCTGAACTCAAGCTTGCATATGAAGTGTTTGAGGCAGTGCCACACCCCGATATCAAACCGATGGTAAGATTGACCTTCAAACATCTACATAATCAAGTTCCCCAGCTAACTGTCCCAGGCATACGCGAATAACTCTATTCTTTCGGGGATGTGATGGTATATTTGATTTTCAAGCGCGGCGTTGCCCAAGAGATCTACCTAGAATTGATGTTCCAAATGTATCTACGTGCATGAATGATGTATCCCGAGTAGCTCTGAGTAGCTCTGACGTCGCCAACTTTATACTTCACACCGCTTTTGCCCCGCGTCGTCCCCGCCATTCTGCCACTTTGACTTCTTTTTGCCCTTGGTCAAGATACATCTTGCAGAGCAGTCATGGAATTCGATCCTAAGACCCGTAAGTATCACTGCTCGGCAACCAAGTATAACGGACTAACATGAGCAGCCCAATACCTCACCTCCGACAAGTCGAGCTTCGCCTCGGTCTCGGCTAAAGACCGCTGGCCTGTCATCATCGTGAGCTTGCGGCAGACAAATCGATAGCCGGAGGATCAATTGCTGAATATGTGTGACGACTCTAGACTGGCGCTATTGATGACCTTCACCGCACTGTTTTAGGTGTCAATGACGACGAGAAGGCAAATGAGGGCAAGAGCATTATTGCCAACTTGGCCAAACTGAAGTATGAGCTTCAGCATGACAGACGACTCATGTGAGTCCTTTCACACTCTATGCCAGAACCACAAAAGCTTCATCTAATATCTATGTTGCGGCTAGTCCCCTGGATGATGACGGACATCCAGATATCGCTTCGTACAACAAGGAGTTGGAGGAGCGCGGAAACCCCCACTGGCACGATGTGGCCTGGCTTTATGCAGAGTGTTACCTCTGTAAGCCCAAATTCCCGGTCCAACTCGAAATGAGACAAACTACGGTAGTACTGACCGGACGACCACATTAGACCGCCGCATGGAAGCCATGTTCGCGTTGTCCGAACGTTGGAAGGGCTATGACGTATTCGCTCGCCAGAAGATGGATACATTCAAGTCGTCTCGTCCCGCCGTACTAGAACTCGCTGGGAGATACCGTGAATTAGCGATAGAGGCGGAGTCGGGAAAATCAAGAGAAAACAAGTCACCAGAGGAAATCGAGCAGGCAGAGAAGCTTCTTTTCTCGGAGATGTGCGAGATCTGCTTATGGGGTAATGCCACCGATTTGTCACTTCTGACATCTCTCACCTACGAGGATATCCAGAAACTACAGGGCTCCGAGGCGCGCAAAGCATCGCAGAAAAACATCATTGTCAACGACCTCGATGCTGCTTTCGAGGCAATGCAAAGGGCGCGGAGAGAGAAGAAAGATGGCGAGCGCCGCGTCGACATCGTCCTAGACAATTCTGGATTTGAGCTATTCGTTGACCTAATTCTTGCTGGATACTTGCTGTCCGCCGGATTGGCGACCAGCGTCGTGCTACACCCCAAGCGCATGCCGTGGTTCGTGTCAGATGTCACGCCGAAGGACTTCTCCGACCTTCTCAACAGCATGGTCGACCCGCAGGCCTTTTACACAGCTGCAGATGACTCGGGCAAGACATTCCCTCCTCTTTCCGAGAAGGAGGTCTCCAACGTGCAATTCCTCTTTGAGCAGTGGAGCCAGTTCCACCAGGATGGTAAACTGATCCTGCGCCCGCACGCTTTCTGGACCACCCAGGGCGGTTACTGGCGCATGCCATCCGTGGCACCGGAGCTGTTCGAAGATTTGAAGGAGAGCGAGCTTGTTTTGTTCAAGGGTGACCTGAACTATCGGAAGTTGGTCAATGATGTAGGTCCGGGCTTCTTTGCTTTTCTGTTCTTCTCTAACAATATCCAGGCCCAATGGGACCCCACCACTCTTTTCACAGAAGCTATCGGCCCGCTTGGCCCCAAATCCGGGATCCGTCTTCTAGCCTTCCGTACTTGCAAAGCTGATCCCGTTGTCGGTCTCCCCGCTGGAATGGATGAGAAGCTCCGCGCATTGCCTGGAGGCGGCGGCTCCGAGTCTCGCAAGTGGGCCTGGAGCGGGAAATGGGCCGTCGTGTCGCTTTCTGACGGCAAGGCCTGAGAGCGCACTGGGCACGACCGACCGTGTTCTACGGCAGGCTTTGGATTCCGTTGCACACTGGGTGAATATGTCAATAAGGGACCTTTGTAGATGAACTAGAGTAGCAAAAGATCACAGCTGAAGGTAGAGGCGCTAATAGCTGATCTAGATTGTGAGTAAAGGTGTGATATGATACAATAGCTAGCCATGTACATAGCAATCACGCTCAAATGAGAGAAGCGAAGGGGCTTGCCATAAGAGATTCCAGCCTCAGCCATTGGTCGCTCCGGCTAGATGTAGTACCGCTCGTGCTCGCCTACGACCCATTCCTTATTCGCTGTGGCTGGCACACTTCCTTGGGCTGCGATGGGAGATTATTGACGTCGATAATTCCCGCGGTAGCGAGTGAGATTAGAAGGACTAGGATTGGGTACCTATGTATGCCATGGTGTGTCCGGATTTAAGATTATCGTAGTAGATCTCAACTTGAGTCAAGCAAATAAAGATCGGCGACTACATAATGCATAATAACACTGGGGAGTTACCGGTTCCTTATGAATGCCTGACACATCAATTATATAGATTGTCCATGGGCTTTTTTGCGAGATAGAGACACCACTGATACCCAGGGAACTAACATGGTCTGGTTTATTGGAGGTACAGCATGGAGAGTTTGGGAACGAGCGGTGATCGAGAGACTAGAGGAGAGTTACTGATTGAGCAATATTCAACAATTGTTTTTCGCTGAAAACGTAGATAGAAAGAAGGCGATGAAAAAGAATAACGTTTATGAACCTGAACACCATGCCATCATGCTCTAAAAGTCACTCCTTATTTCCAAATCAGAAAGCGAATCCAAACAATATGTGAGAAAAGACCTCAAGCATTCTCTTTTCCAAATGCTCTGGTTTTACGACTGTCCTTCTGCCTGAGTCGTGACTTGGCAGCGGCAATTCGTTCAGGAGAGAGAGCTTCACGCTGGACATCAGTCAAGCCATACCGCTTGCCCACGCGTTCGCCCGCTGAAACGGTGTAACCTGAATACCGACTGCGAGATGGGAGGCCCGACATTGAATCGAGTGTAGACTTGATGTGGATTCGTTCACGTCGTGTCTGTCGGTTGCTGAGCCGAGTGTCATCATCAGCAGGGAGGTTCAGATTCCGATAGGACCGCTGGCCTTCGCCAAGTCGGCGTCTTGAGAACGTGCGATTCAGCGACTTCACCGCTGAGATATCGGGAGGCGAGGACGGAGGAATTTCATCTAAGACAGTATTATGGGATTCGTACCGCGGCTTCAGTAGAATTTCGTTCAGATAATGTGTGACCTCATCGTCGTCTGCGGCCATATCTCGGGCATACGGTCTCGTACCAAGGCTACCCAATGTGGCACTGCGCAAAGCAGGTCGCGAATCGCGTACTTTAGACCGTGGACTCGGGCTTGGGGGAAGCTCAATATCTTCGGTGGGTTCTTCTTCAGGTTTCTCGGAATCCTGACCAGCAAAGTCAAACACCTGCACGCCCGTGTGGTCTTTGCGAGGACTGAGGAATTGCCGCTCTGTGGAAGGTAGCGCCGGGAAGCGTTCCGTAGAACCAAGTCGCAGTTTTAGAAGGTCTATCTGTTTCTGCATGTGGCAACGCTCTGCATCGGAAGTATTTCTCAAATTCTCCTCCGAGGCACGGTGCTCTTGGGTGACCGTTTTGAGCTTTTCTCTGTATTCTTGGATCCGCTGCTCCAGTCTGGCCTCTCTCTGCTTCAGTCTGGTTTCCTTATCCTTTCGCCGACCTTCATATCGGGACATTTCCTGCTTCACTCGGGCCAGTGTCTGTTTCAGAGTGTTATTCTCTTTCTCGAGTGCTTGGGCTTTCTTTTCTGAGCTCTGTGCGAGGTCCTGAAGTGTGCTCAGTTCGGACCGTTGGTTTTTCATCTCCTCAATCTTGGCATTGGCTTGTTCCAATTGTTGCTGTGTTTTGCGAAGCTCGTCCGTTGGGGCTTTTGAAGGCAGTTCTTCCTTTTTCTTTTGTGTAATATTTGCCGCATCGCTTACGACATCATGCCGTTCCAAGGCGTTGCGCAGCGAGGTAACTTGCTGCTTGTATTGTAAGGCAAGAGCAGTTTGTTTGGTCAAAGCTTGAACCAAGTGCTCCTTATCGTCTGTCGACCCCTCCCCGACCATCGAAGAAGCAAGCCGTGACACCTGCCTTTCCATCTCGGCGACCTTTCCTTCTTCTTCCTTCAGCTTGTCGGCCAGCCGCATAGCTTCTGTATCCTTCTTGCGAGCGTAGGATTTGGCAATCGACCGGTAATGGATCAATTTCTTGATCTCTCGATTGGTCCTCACACGGTAATTGTCGAATTCGGTTTTCCAGTACTTGCCTGACTCTGAGTGCGGGTCCTCCAGATTGACAGTGATATCTTCATTGTCGAGGTTATCCTTCGACCCAGAGACTATGGCGGATTTCGCTTCTCCTGTGCTCTCATCAGACTTGGTCGGTTCGGAGTTCTTGGATGCATTGTCGCGTGCATCCATGAGCGTCTGTGTGAGTTTGCTCCTCGGCTTGCCACTTCCATCTGATGATCCCGACATCCACTGGGTACTGAGGTTTCCGGAAGGATTTGGTGGAGTCTTGGCTGGCTTACTGGCCGAGCCAGGTCGTTTCCCCTCATTGTCGATGACACTTTCGCCAAAGGATACCGTCTTACGTCGCAACGCTGTTCCAGGTGTGACAAGTATGCTTTTCGTGGGGGATCCCGTGGGATTGTAAGTCGCGTCGGCTGGTTTCGCGTCGGTCTTGATCTCTGTTGGTGCTAGTTTTATCGTGTCACTCTTGCTTCGTTGGTGACCAGACTGATTTTGGGACGCGTTGTTTTCATCTTCCTCTGCTCCCGGAGTACCAAACAGAGCGCTCTTGAAAGCACGAATCGCGAAGACATGGCCTGGGGTCTCAGGGGGTTCTAGCAGCTTGGAGTCATCTGTAGCATCACGTTAGAGCGAAAGCTTCAAAGGTCGAAGTAATCAGCACACCTGTAGTCTGTGCGGTTTGCTCGTTCCCCTTGATCCAGTCCAGCATTTTGACCAGGGTTGGTAGAAACCTCGAAATTCTTGTAACCAAGTTGAAGTCCAATGTTTATGGTCCGGGCGGAAAAAGCAGAAGCGCCGATCACTTTATCGATAAGCTCGCGTTCCGGGGCCTCACCTTGCTTTTGTTTACACTTGGCACTTTTTCTTGGGATGTTTTAGAATTGGGATATTGTTTCTTTACTTTCTTCTCTTCTCTTCTCTTCTCTTTTCTTTTTCAAAAAGTTGGCTTGAAAGGTATTGCACTTGGTTTCCAGAAGGGCCTTGTTGATTTCCCCCATATCAGGTGTATGTATGTGTACGGAGTTAAAAAGAGGTGAGGGTGAAAAGACCACGATTGTGCGTGGCTTTTGGAGGGAGAATCGTGGTCTTTTCACCTAATTGTATATGCTTGAAAAACCACGCTAATTGTGTCTCCGGGGCGGACGAGGGGATAGTTTCTAATAAGATTTACCTAAAGAGATCTAGTTAATTAACTAGGATTAATATATACTTAGAATATAATGGTTAACATGGCCCAGGCCTTCCGCCAGGCCTTCTTTCCTACACCACCATCAACAGATCTCTCAGATACTGCTCACTACGATTACCCACCGGATCGAATCTTCTTCCGCCGAGTTAACGAGCATGAGGTTGAGGAAGCCGCGCTTTTGGCAGGTGCCAGCAAAGCACCAGGCGAGGATGCGCTGCCTAATAGCTTATGGCATAAGCTAATCAAGATCCCATCGGTCCTGCAAACCCTCACCGCACTATTCGATGCATACATTCGTATCGGCCATAATCCCACACACTTCCAGCAGTCCGCCACGGTAGTACTACGCAAAGCAGGCGATCGAGACTACCAGGTAGCTAAATCCTACTGCCCGGTAGCGCTCATCAACACCCTGGCTAAAGTTCTCGTTGCAGTGGTAGCGAAGCGCGGAGATAGCGACTGCTCATCAACTAGAACAGGCTCGATTTCTAGACCATCTCGGGGTTTGCAATTGTTGTAGCGAACGAAAAGCTTTATCTTTTCATCGCTGCCTATGAAATTGTAGATCGGCGAGGATCGGACAAGTAAGGTACCGGAGTTATCGAATTTCGCCTGTAGGAGACGGCCGTGCCTTGGCCCAAAGAGCGAGATGACGAGCACTGGGAAGAGTGAGGTACCCTCGAATTCTGGCTGTTCGAGACGGCAGTAGAGGACGTTTGCAATAGGCGCTAACTCGCCATGGAGTAGTTCATTTTCTTTAGCCTTTGCACCAGTGAGAGTCAAAAGTTTGACATGAGGGCGAGTGGTCTTCGAATCCTCGAAATCGTCAAGCCATTGGCAAGTAGAATGGGCGGTCCATCTCGGAAGATCCTGAGGCTTTGAATGTCCCAATTTAACACCGCATGACATTCCTGTTGGAGTCTCGTAGAAAGAGTTCTCGGCCCTAGTAGCCTATGTTAGCGACTTAGTTAAGCATAGAACGAGATTCACTTGATATAGTCCCAATGCGAAAGGTCCTGTATTGAGGATGTCGATCTCCCACTCTTCCTCTCGGACTTTGACTCGAAGACCTCAAGATAGAATAGAATTTGACCAGCTCTCTCCCACATCTGGCAATGCTCTGGAACCTCGTCTGTGAGGTCATTCCTTGAATTCGGTGATGTAGTGATGCTCGTCCTTAGAAAGTGTTTCTTTGTCGATTTTGTATGTTTTAAGCTCTTCCTGGGTGAGTGGCTGGAAGAGACAAGCTTCGGAATCGGTGAATTTGTGATCCTCTGGATCGATGTATTGGACGGACACTCGGAATTGAGCGAGCTCAGTGTGCGTGTAGGCAGGCTTAGACCGAGACTGGAGCTCTTGGATGATGGATCGCGCTGCTTGCTTGTACTTGTCTCTTAGGTGAGCGCGTTTCTGCGGGTCAACCAGGGAAGAAGCCATGGTGAACAACAAGGAAGAAAGGGTGATATTGTTGAGACGTAAAGACAGAAAGATGATTTTGTGGGTGGATTTGAGAGCTGGATGTGAAGATGTGTGGATAAGACTGATGAAAGAGGCAGGTACGACTAGTAGTGAACGCCCAACCGGCGGGACCATGTTATTAGTCGCGTGATCTTCGCTCGCCGCAGAATACCCAACAGAAAAGCATCACCAGACCAAAAAGAGAAAAGATGCAGTTGGATCACCAAACAGCCAATTCCCGCATAACAGGACGGTGTATTCTGGCAACTCCATCCCAGCGTGAAGTCTTCTCTGCGCATTTACTGCCGGAAGGATTGTCTCCGTTGCTTAGCGCCCCATAGCATCAGGGATTACTCGCACAAGTACAATGGTGCCGCAGGATGCGTACCAGGCACCTGTACCTGCTGGTTGCACTGAAGCGAGATGGCCGACCTGGCGGTGGCTTTTCCATTAGGTTATCCGTGACAGACTAAATGAACTCCGTGTGATATTGAAGTCTATCAGTTCTATCCGCTGAATTAATTTTTGGTAAATAAACGAGTAATCCTCTAGCAAGAATATCTTACAAGTTGACCAATAAAGCAAGTAACTGAATTTGATTCAAAAAACTGCTGCTAATTTAACACCCCATGGACGATACCAATCCCATGGATCCTCAGTGCTCGAGTATCGATCTAGGATCATTGGCCGATATTTGAAGAAGTTTGGTGGTCAGGATCAATAGCAAAAACGCCTCAGTCACGATGCGCACACGAGGAACGAAGGGAAAGGATGAGCAGAAGGGCGAAAACCAGCGACAAGTTAACGCGGCGATGAAGAGGACTTTGAGAAACACGCAGAGCGATAGTAATGCGCAGGGAGGCGCTAACCGGAACGGACACGCTAAACTCTTTTGCGTACTTCACCGTCACCCGAGTGTACGAAGTACACACGTGCGTGCACAAAGGACTTGTCTGGGGCCCAGGGTACTTGGCATACAGTCCGCCCTGGAGCGACCACCAGCCTTGCAGCCTACAATCCTTCGTTTTCGGGTTCTGACTGCTCTCACGAACGTCTTACAATTATACTCTTCTTCTAGTGTATAAGTACCCCTTGGATTCTCATCTTTTCCTTTGAATACTACACTGTTGTCCCTTACAAGCGCTTAGATCCCTGAAAACTCCAAGCCACTACAGATACTACGCAAAACAACAAACATAAGACTGGCTTGGCATAACAAGATGCCTCTTTCCCATTCGGTTGTTCTCCGCTTGGTTGTCACCGCCATTGCAACCACATTTGTCGGATTCGGTGTCAACGCTATCCTACGCCCAGACCATGCTCTCACTTTCTTCGAGTTCCAGCCACCTACCTCTGTAGTGGACAAACAGATGGTTGACAGTTTAATGGCAATCTATGGAGTCCGGGACATCTTCATGGGGGCTGCCATATATGCGGCTTCGTATTTCGGCACCCGTTCAACCCTGGGCTGGACCTTGATTGCCGCTAGCAGCGTTGCATTTGCAGATGGCTCTATTTGTTGGACCCATGGCCAAGGACATTGGAATCACTGGGGATACGCACCAATGATTGCTGTGGCTGGCAGCTTGTTGCTCGGTGTCTTCGATCGTGTGTGATGGTCACAGCTGGAACAAGACAACACGAGCAGAAATGATCGTCTACTGCGGTGACAATAATTGCCACCCTTCTCGGTATATGCCAGCTCAGCACCTCACCACCTCATGATATCTGGGTCCACTATTGGGCAGGACAATGGTTCTTTGGCTTGACGATGGTGATACACTCAACCTCAAGTCAATAGGCACATGGGATATCTCGACAAGGACTTTGGAGTAAACAAAACATGCAAGAACCATGAAATACAAGTGACTCGAAATATAATATAAGCAGTAGATCTACGAATCCATAGTATAGTTAAACCGACAGGGACGTCATTTATACTGGGCATCTCCACTCTATAAATGGAAGGGCGTATGATCTGACCGCCTGTTTATTCTAGCCTCAGAGGGGAAGGAAAAAAAAGACTGCCCAATTCCTTTCCACCTCCAATAACCCTTTCATCTTTTCGTCACCAGCCCCCATGTCGTACGACGCTCAGGGTCGCATGTAGGGCGAGCTTTCGCCACGCCCCGCGATGTCTCCCAAACAGAGGAAGAAGCCCTCCCGCCAGAAAAACCAAACCTCCGATTCCTCCGTGACGTCCCCCATTTTTACAACCAATTACCGAGAAATCCACCAGACAGAGGTGGAAGCTCTGCGTTCAATCTATGGCGATGACTTTGAAGAAGTAGAAAATAGGCGGTCGGCCTGGCAGGTGGGTGCACTCTTCGAGCTGTTTGGGCCCCTTATGGTCACTAACCCGTACACTCTAGCAATCCTCCGACGTGACATTCAAGCTTCATTTGCGATCCTCCTCAAATCCAGACGTACTCCTCATTCTGCTGGTCGAACTGCCAGCTACATATCCTAAAACAATCCCCAATCTCTCACCGGGAAACCTCGACGGCTTTCGCGATGGCGCGCGTTCCCGTATACAAGAAATTCTACGCAACAAGCCAAAATCTCTGCTCGGAAGTGAGATGATATATGAGCTGGCGGTGTCCATCCAAGATGTTCTGGAGGATGTTGCACAAGCACAGGCACAGGACAAAGACCTACCCAGCCTTGAAGAGGAGCGTATGGAGCAAGAGGCGGCTGCTCTGCAACGCGCAGACCTTGAAAAAGAAGAGGAACTTCGCAAACAAAAGGCTGCAGCCTTCGAGGAAGAACGCGCACTACAAGAAATGCTTGAAGACAAGATGCGACAGCGGAACAAGGCTCGCATTTTAAGACGCAAGAGTCGAACTGGCGGCGCGGATATGAGTTATGTTGATGACCTTGTGGAAAATACACCCGGCGCCATCTGCTTTGATCCTCCGTTGGCCGTCAACGACACCGATGAGCAGCCGCTGGTCTTCCGGGCCGTTCATGGCAAGACACTGCTGCAAAGCAAACAATGCAAAAAGACCTTCACCGTCAGGCCTGTTGTGTCCGAGAACCGATGCCATGTCCCGCTGCTTGTTTTGAAGGAGCTTTGCCTCAGCGAGAATAATTCCGAGGGATTGACGTTTCGTGAGCAGATGCGCACCAGTGAGGATAAGTTAGAGGGTATCAAGCGATTGCGACACCCCAATCTTGTTGAATTCGTGGGGTTCAAAATAAATCGCCCAATTGGCCGCTTGGATTCACACGATAATTCTTGGACCGTATTCACGCTTTTGGAGTATGCAAATAAGGGTTCCCTTGCCGAGCTCCTGGATATCGTGGGGACCGTAGCTGTTGATATGCTTCGCGGCTGGATGATTCAGTTACTCGAGGCTCTGGAGTTCTACCACCGCAGCGGTTTTGTGCACGGGAACATTCATTGTGGCCGAGTCTTTCTATTCAGGACTCCTTCTGGTGAAACTATCGTTAAACTGCAGTCTAACGTCGAAGAAGCTTTGCCCGACGCTCCCTGTGGAAAGCCTTCTTTCGCGGCGTCAAAGTCACCACTTTGGCTACCCCCGGAGCTGACACAGGACAGTTCTCCTCCCTCCATGAAGACCGATGTCTGGGATCTTGGGATTGTGTTGCTTCAGATGGGCTTTGGAAAGGATGTTCTGCTCAGGTACACCTCCGCCAATCAGTTGATGGTGTCTATGGGGCTCTCGCCGCCCCTGCAAGATTTGCTTTGTGAATTCTTCCGCCCAGATCCCAGAAAACGTCCGACTGCCTTCCAACTCCAGCCATCTGAATTCTTCCGGGTGGATGCGCCGCTAAAGATGCGAGAAAGAGCGTCGGAATCCATGTCTCTGCAGAGACGGCCACGCCTCGACTCCTTTGGAGCCATGCGGGCTTTCTCACGATATCACCAAGACTTTGATGAGGCAGGTCAGCTAGGCCGTGGTGGATTTGGACAGGTAGTCAAAGCCCGGAACAAGCTCGATGGTCGGTTGTATGCAGTGAAGAAGATCTCCCAAACATCGGCCGCAGCGTTGAAAGACACGCTTTCCGAAACCATGTTGCTATCGCGGCTGAACCATTCCTATGTTGTCCGATACTACACTGCTTGGCTTGAAGAGGACTTCAATCACATTGAGGAAGAGGCTATATCCTCTACCGAAGGTGACCCGTTTGCTAGCCAGGATCACCATGGATTCAGTACAGGAGGCCTTGATTTCATCAGCTCCAGTGGGTATCCAAAAATAGAGTTCGCCGCATCAGACAGCGATGATGAAAACGAAGGAACGTTATCCGACCCTGCGCACCCAGAGACACCAGAGAGGAACAGGGTGACTGATACTGGTCCTAACTCCGGAAGTGCGGAGGAAGCTGAGCTCAGCCGAGCGAGATCTGGCTCTTATGGCAGACCTATTTTAACTACCCTCTACATCCAGATGGAGTACTGTGAGAAGCATGTAAGTGTTTTAATACCCCTCTGCTCGTTGTTCTAGACTAACATTGCCAAAGACCTTGCGCGATCTAATAAGGGATGATTTGTGCGATGATACGGAGCGTTCATGGCGTCTCTTCCGACAAATTCTCGATGGCTTGAGCCATATCCACAGTCACGGCATCATACATCGTGACTTGAAGCCTGACAACATTTTCATTGACGTTGCAAATAATCCTCGCATTGGTGACTTTGGTCTTGCAACGAGTGGTCAATTCACCACGGCCGTGCGTTCGTCCGCAGCCGCCGACTTCGAAGGGGATTTCACTCGCAGTTTAGGTACAACCTACTATGTGGCACCCGAGATGAAGTCAGTTGTTTCGGGGCACTACAATGAGAAGGTCGATGTGAGTAGTGAATATACAATTGGTACCACAAGTATATGCTCACGCATTCTAGATGTTTTCGCTTGGTGTTATTTTCTTCGAGATGTGCCATCCATTACCAACTGGCATGGAACGAGACCAAACCCTTCGAGCAATCCGGGAAAAGAACCACACTCTTCCGCCCACTTTCCAGCAATCTGATAAATTGCTCCAAGGCCAGATCGTTGAATCTCTTCTGAGCCATACCCCGAGCGAACGCCCGACAGCCTCCGACCTTTTGTCCAGTGGAAAGATACCTCTTCAGGTCGAGGAAGAGACGTTCAGGCGGGCTATTGTACATCTGCTCTCGGATCCAAATTCACCCGACTACAAAAAGATTCTATCAGCCATCTTTTCTCAGTCACCTAAGAAATTCGAAGATATTGCTTGGGACATAGACTCACATGCAGTACCTGCCGCCAACGAGCTACTTGTTCAGGGCCTGGTCAAGAAGAAGCTAACCTCGATATTTCGAAGACATGGTGCTGTTGAGTCAACAAGGCAAATGCTGTTCCCCCGATCCCAGCATTACAACAACGGTGCCGTACGTGTGCTGGATGCATCCGGCAATCTCTTACAGCTGCCATATGATCTTACACTCCCAAACGCACGAGCAATTCCAAGACAAGATCATTCGCTGGAGAAGACATTTGCATTTGGCACGGTCTACAGAGATTCACCCCATGGCAGTGAACCACGAACTCACCGCGAAGTTGACTTCGATATTGTGTCCCACAACACCCTGGATCTAGCCTTAAAAGAGGCAGAAGTAATTAAGGTTTTGGATGAAATCATCGAGGAATTCCCACCTTTGCGGTCTACTCCAATGTGCTTCCTTGTCAACCACTCCGATCTGCTCCAACTTATTATGGAATTCTGTCGCATAACATCTACCCAAATCCCAAAGGCGAAGGAAGTTCTCAGTAAGCTGAATGTTGGAAAATATACTATGCAAAAGATTCGAAGTGAACTCCGGGCCCCAGCAATTGGTGTTGCTTCAACTTCGTTGGATGACCTTGCTCGTTTCGACTTCAGAGGTACTTAAACTTCCTTTATCAGATCGGGACAAGATGCTAATGAATATGATACAGACTCGCTGAAAGAGACACAACGCAGGCTGCAGAACATCATGGAAGGAACTGAATACGCAGAGCGGATTTCACCCATCTTTGCTCGCTTGAACGTGCTCATGACCTATTTGCAGAGTTTCGGCGTGAAACGAAAAATCTACATCAACCCACTCAGCAGTGTTCATGACAAGTTCTACCGCGGTAGCATTCTGTTCCAGTGTATTTTTGATAGCAAACGACGCGATGTGTTTGCTGCAGGTGGCAGATATGATCGGTTGATCCAGGAATTCTCACCTAGCGTCCTATCAAATCGGCCACAAGCGCACGCTGTGGGTTTCAACCTCGGCTCCGATCGACTACGCTCATCGATGATCGACTACCTGAAGGCCAAGGCTCCGTCGAAAGATTCCGAGACAAGTGCTGATTTGTACTGGGCGAGCCGTCGGGTAAGTAGCCTCCCATCTCCACTCCTTTGATGTAGTTTTTGCTAAGCTTCAACAAAGTGTGATGTACTTGTTGCCAGCTTTGACCCAACCGTTCTGCGCACAATAGGAGTAAAACTCATCGAAGAACTCTGGTCAAACAACATAAGTGCAGAGCTTGCAGTCGACGCCTCGTCCCTTGAAGAGCTTCTAGCGAAATACAAAGACTCCAATCACCGGTGCATTGTGATCGCCAAGCAAGACAGCAAGGAGCGTGGATTCAAAGTTCGGAACCTGATGCGCAAGGAAGAATTCGACATCCGTACTGCTGAACTTGTGATGTGGCTTCGATCAGAAGTACAGGCGCGCCACCATCGCGAGGGAACTGCTGATCCCCGCCAATCCCGTCAAATGAGCCAGCAGGAGGCTCTCGGATTCCAGGAACGGACAAATGATGTGCGCATCCTCATCCCCCAGCATAGAAGCAAGAAGACGAACCGAAGGAACATTGTTGAGTCAGGTAGGTTCATGTTTCAAGTGAATCCATCCTCAGTCCAGTTTAATATACTAAATGATATGCTGTGTTCTAGCCCTACTTTCCTCTCGGGAAGTAGCTGAAAATGCCCGCAATGGCCCCGTCGCCGCCATCGACACCCGCGACGAGGTTCTCGATGCTATTCGGGACACGCGTCTGTCCGACGCAGAGAGTTGGCGCAGCGTGATCCAGAACGCACCGCTGACAGAGCGGAAGTATCTCAGTCAAGTGCACGAGCTACTCACTGACTTGGCCGTGGAGAATCGCACAAATGATACCACAGAAAGCTACACGAATGCTTTCATCTACAACTACCGTACAGGCTCCTGCGTGTACTATGACCTGGGACACTAGCGAGAAATGAATTTACGACTGATTGATCTCATGGGGAGAAGAGTGATGAAGTGAAGTTAAGTTAAGCATAAGTTCTCAGATCAATGGGACTCATGGTGTTGGCATTTGTTTTATGGGTGGATGTATCTCATTTGTTTGACACTCTCAATGGTGTCTTTTAGCGAGTGCTCGGGATGATACCATACATATAGTGATGAATGACGCCCAGGAATAATATTTACGCATATCATGTATGGAGATGCAGTGAGAGAAATGAAAATTTTGACAAAGGTATCGTTGCTGTTGTACATGAAAAAAATTCGCCATCGTGATGGATTAAGGTGACGCACAAACTGCACGTAAATCAGTCACTCTCATCGTCGCTGCCGTAGGCGACTAACGCTCCACCGGTAGCCTTAGGCGCCTGGGTGGTTACTCTTCCGCCGTTAAGACTCTGTAGGGCTGCAACGGCAGAGCTGGAGAATATGCCATTACTCTGTGGCTGCTGCTCCTGTGCCGGGACCGAAGCAGACTCGATCATCATCGGTTGTTCAGGTGCCTCTAGCCGAGCGACCTGGCTCGCATCCTCCAGTTGACGGGTTCTGGCATGCCACACATCATCTGGAACGTCATAACCCTGCAGTCCGAAAGTGCCTTCGATCTTCTTCCGCTTCTTAGCCTCGGGATCTCGGCCTTCGATCTCCGCTACAAAAGCTGCGGGAAGAGCGCGGCGCACAGCCTCGGCAGCTTGTTCTTCTAACCGGCGTGCCTCGCGCTTCTGTGCCATTGGGTTAGGGTCGACTGTTGCCCATCGTACATTAAGAATTTCCTACTTGTTGTTAGTACTCTTGTATCATATATCGCATCTCGCAGGTTGAAATGTTGAACTTACCTCATGGTCCAAACTCTGGTTTGCCATCGCAACTAGACTTTAGTCAAGTGTCAGTTCGGTATAAATATAGAGCTTGGGGAGGGGGATCTCACGCAAACTGCGCGTTACTTTCTGACGAGTAGGTCACAAAAGCCACGCCCCGTCCGGTAAGTACTCTTGTTCTTTCGATTTGACCCCATTCGGCAAAATGCCTTGAGCACACTTCCTCGATATCATCGCTAGATATTGATTAGCAAGAAGATGAAGTATAGATTTTCGAGAAACTCACGTAACTGTGATCCGGCCAACGTAGATTGTCCTGTTTTGGCGTGTGAACGAGCCTACTCCGGACATATCCTATTTCAAGTAGCATTAGCGATATGTTCATACAGAAAGCAACATTTCCAATTCACAAAGACATGATACGCACTTCCTTGTAATCGCTGTGCTTGTCTCTTCCTATAGTCTGGAGTCAGTCGCCCGTTTTCAATTATCAGGAGCAAGGTTGGAAATGATACTAACCAAAGCAGTCCATGTTCGGATTGAACCTATAAATGACCTGATTAGCCGGGTTGTTTTGTATCCGATGACTCTAACAAAGTGGAAGAATCCTCGAGTCGTGTACGGCACGGCAATCACACTAACATATCATGAATCGTCGGTAGACGATGAAGGTATTCGCAGTCCTGACCTTTCACGCAAACACCACGCGCAAAATGTATGCTAGATAAAATGGAAAAAGGATTAGCAAATGTCTACTGCGATGCGCAAGATGGCCATGAAAGCCATCGATAGATTTTCTTACCAGAAAAATGAGCCCGGAATGCGATCAGCGCGAGTATATCCCGAGTCACGCGCAATATTGCAGCGACCAGGTGCGGGTTGGCTGAGGCCATATTTGTCGTCGTTGTCGCCGCTTTTGTTGTACCAAATATTATAATCGAGTCCGGGCTGCTGTGCAGGCTCTGCTTTGATGGTCGAGGCGTCGACTTGTATCCTCGCAGGGCGTTTCTTCCTGCGAATAATTTTGGTCTTTTTGACCGGCTGGAGTTGCTGATCTCCTTGCAGAGTGTCATCTGCGGCGCCGGTTGTTGCCACAGTCATGTCTTCGGCATTGGGCTCAAGGGTTTCGGGAGTGGTGTTGGAAATGGGAGCTGATGGCTCAGCAACCGATGTATCTGCCATGGTCCTGTTTGAGTTGGGAGAGGTTGAGTTGAAAGGCCAAGCTTGAGCTCTCAAAAAAAAGGTTGACGTCCTGGGCCGTTCCAACTGAGGTGCTTACATAAGGCTTGGCAGGTGCCGCGGGCACATCGGCGGGATTTGGTATTTCCCTCTCGGAGGCACAACGAAAGCACCAGAGAAAAAGATTTAGTGATTTCGCAGGCGACAAGCCTTAGAGACTGACACGATGGTGAACATAACGGAAAAGATCAAGGAGTATGTTCCTTGTTAACCGTTGAACCTGCCAATTTGCTGATCTTTTACAGGATCGAGGATGAGATGCGTCGAACGCAGAGTAAGTGTTCTTATCTTCAGACCTAAACATATATCACCCCGCTAATGACCCACAGAGAATAAGGCGACAGGTAAGATACCCTCGTGATCGAGCGAGGATTTGATCTAATCTTCAAATCTTGAAATCAGAATACCATTTGGGTCTATTGAAAGGGTATAGTCTTAATCCTCTGCCTTCGATTTCAAATACAAACTGACGACGTTTCCAGAAAGCTTGCCCGTCTAAGAGCCCAGCTTCTGGAGCCAGTGGGAGGTGCTGGCTCTGGCGGCGGCGCAGGATTTGATGTCAGCAAGAGCGGCGATGCACGAGTGGCTCTTGTTGGCTTTCCCTCTGTCGGAAAGTCTACGTTCCTGTCTAAAATCACCAAGACCAAGAGCGAGGCTGCAGCCTACTCTTTCACCACGCTGACGGCTATTCCCGGAGTGCTGGAGTATGGTGGTGCTGAGATTCAAATCTTGGATTTGCCGGGTATCATCGAAGGTGCCTCCGAGGGCAAAGGCCGTGGTCGGCAGGTTATTTCGGCCGCAAAGGTGAGCGAGCTGACTTTTTCCATGGGAAAGAGCATAGAAACACTGACAAGATTTCTGCTTCTAGACAAGTGATTTGATCTTGATGGTTTTGGACGCCACAAAACGTGCCGAACAGCGAGCCTTGCTTGAGGCTGAGCTGGATGCTGTGGGCATTCGATTGAACAAGGACCCGCCGTATGTCATATCCTGTCCGAGGTTTTGCAGGGACTCAAATACTGACCCAGCCCCAGCAATATCTACTTGAAAATCAAGAAGGCCGGTGGCATGAAGATCTCTTTTGCGACTCCTCCGAAGAATTTGGATGAAAAGATGGTCTACAACGTGCTCCGGGATTACAAAATTCTTAACTGCGAAGTACTCGTGCGAGATGAGAATGGTATGTGGTGCTTTGATACACAACCAGGCCAAATTTCTGACTTGCGACCCCGTTCTAGCTACAATCGACGACTTCATCGATGTGATTATGAAGGACCACCGGAAGTACATCCGCTGGTAAGATTGGCACTAATGATATTTGGTACCAACTAAGAAATGCTAATGTTTCTCCTTTTCTGTCAGCCTTTACGTCTACAACAAGGTCGACAGCATCGGTCTCGAATTCCTTGACGCCCTCGCCCGCGAGCCTTACACAGCCGTCATGAGTTGTGAACTTGACCTCGGCGTGCAAGACGTAGTCGAACGCATCTGGAAAGAACTGAGACTAATGCGGCTTTACACGAAACGGTATGAGATATCCATGACTTTTAGTTTCATTGACATGTCTGACGATTATCGTATTTATAGAAAGGGAGAGGATCCTAAGTTCGATGAGGCGCTCATCGTACGCCAGGACTCCACCATTGAGGATGTTTGTGACCAGATTCATCGCACAATCAAGGACACATTCAAGTATGCGATGGTCTGGGGAGCGAGCGCGAGACATGTTCCGCAGCGGGTAGGATTGGCGCATATGGTTGCTGATGAGGATGTGGTATCCATAGTGGCCAAGTAGAACTTAGGGGTCGAGAGCGATGATGGAAATATTGACACGACTACAAAGAGCTTGGACACGAAAGTATGATTTTAATGCCGTTGATCTCATATACCATGTATGAACCTATGAACAAAATACAGAAACGAATATTCACCTAAGCAACCAATCCAACGTTCGCAAACCAGAACTCCTACTGCAAGATATTGACATACTTAGGCGGCACCGGCAATGGCAGCAGCGGCCACCACGTTCTGCTGGCCAATAGTAGGTTGGACACCCACACGCTCCTTGGCGAGCAAGTCGACCAGCAGAGGGCTGGGACGGCTGTCACGCTGGGGGTAGAGGCCAGCCTGGTTGTTCTTGTACTTCAGCACAGAGTCCAGGTAGATATCGAAGAGGTAGGATGAGTCGAGAGGACCGCCTTTAGCCTCGGGGTGGAACTGGGTGCTGAAGATGGGACGAGACTTGTGGATCATGCCTTCGTTGCTCTGGTCGTTCAGGTTGACAAAGTATGGCTTCCAGTCCGAGGGCAGAGTCGAAGCATCCACGGCGTAACCGTGGTTCTGGCTAGTGATGTGGCAGCGACCAGTGCTAAGGTCAAGAGCGGGAATGTTGTGAGCCCGGTTTCCGTACTTCAGCTTGATGGTGCTGGCGCCGGTGGCCAGAGCCAGGAGCTGGTGGCCTAGGCAGATACCGAAAATGGGGACCTGAGAGGTCTCCATCAGACGTTTGAGGTGGTAGACAGTGTCCTGGCAGTGAGTGGGGTCACCGGGGCCGTTGGAGATGAAGACACCATCGAAGTGGTGAGCGACCTTGTGGATTGGGTAGTCGAAGGGGAGGACAGTGACGCTGGAGCCACGGCCCACCAAGCTGCGAAGAATGTTCTCCTTAACACCACAGTCGATGACAGCAACGTGGGAGTGAGGATCAGCAGCGGCAACATGGAAAGGCTGCTTGGTGCTGACCTGGCGCACCAAGTGGATTTGCTCAGGATCAGTGAAAGCCTCATCCTCGTTGGCATCGTACTCTTCGCCGACAGTAATACGGGCCAGAGAAGAGCCTTGCTCACGCAGGTAGGTGACAATAGCACGAGTATCGACACCGGAAATGGCAGGGACACCTTCACGGGCACACCACTCGCCCAGGCTCTGGACAGCAGTCCAGTGACTGTATTGCTCGGCGACATCGGCAACAACAACACCAGCTGCCTGGAGATTGGGGGACTCGAAGTACTTCAAAAGTCCATTGGTATCCTTTTCGGCCGAGGGAACACCGTAGTTGCCGATCAGAGGCTGGGTGAAAACCAGGATCTGACCACGGTATGAAGGATCGGTCAGGGACTCGGGGTATCCAACCAGCGAGGTAGTGAAGACGGCCTCGCCGGAGATGTTGGAGCGGGCACCGAAAGACTTGCCGGAGAACATTGGACCATCACGGATAGTGAATGTGGCAGGCTCCATAGCGGCACGCTGACGCACAGTAGCCATGAAGCGAGCCTGAACAGGCCGCTTCATGGAGGCGAAGGCAGAAGCCCGGGGAGGCATTGCCTTGAAGAGGTTGAAAATCATTTTTTATTTTAAAAGTAACAATTGTAAATCAGTAGAAAGCTTTGTGCTGTTCAGTTGATGTTGGCTTTCCAAAGGTGGTCCGAGATATAGTCCTGGGAGGTGAAAATCGAGGGTGCCAAACACATAAGCGCGACTGAGTAGGTGGCAGTCAGAGTATGGTAGAGAGAAACGGGGGTATCCGCTATTTAGCGCAACATAGAGATAATTTTTTGCGTTGAGATTCTGTAGAGAAATAATGGGGAAGAAAGCGGAAAAGAAGGGAAACAAGAGGTTTTTCATCCCCGACTCCGTGGGCACGTGTTCTCACCGACTTTGCCGATGTCGGCCAATCGGAGCGCGTCAAAATTGTGTTATCGCCTTAGGAGATCTGACTCATCCAATCGCCGGCTTCGGCGTGGACAATGATAGATATCGCAAAGAATTATTCAACTAGTTAGTTAGCCTTTCAATGGGATCATCGCGTTTATATAACTTCAAATTGGAAGATAGTCAGTTAGGCAATATCAATCATCCAGGCAGTTTGATCTTCTGGATTTTGTCCACTGTACACCGTACACCACACTATTGCCCCACCCAATGAGCACATTGCAGTAGCCCTGTAACTTGCTCGCGCCATTGGCCACTAGGAAGTGCTCAATTATCGGTCTTCTATGTGGGAAACTCACCGTTCAAACAAAATTTCGGTAGGTTTCGTCGTGTCACAGACGGGGTTCCTTTAGGCTCAGGGTAACAACGTAGTGCTCAAGGGAAGCAACGGTGGCGACCAGCGGCAACATCACGGCACATTATTGAAATAAAGGTAGCACCAGCTATAAGAAGCAGTTTGAGCACAAGGAAAAAAGTATCAAGACAGGTAGCCTCCATTATTCTCATCACAGGAATTAAACAATGATTTTGTCTCAGTATCTATCCTATGCCCTATTGGCATTCCTCCTGCCCTCGGCGACTTCTGGACGCTCCACTCTCTCAATCTTTGGAGACAGAAACCAAAGCCCACTTCTGAAGTCAGGATGTGACGATGGCACCGGACTTGTTGACCCAGATGGCAAATGCAATGGCACTGGAGTTGTGGACGACCCAGTGCCCCATGACCGGGAAGGGTTCAAGTTTGAGAACCCATCCACAGATTGCAAATATGCGTCTCAACCGCACATTTGGGACTCATTCAAGTACCTTGAGAAAGACATGAACAAGCTATTCACGCTGATCCACAAAAATGTCAGCTTCACCGTTGTTGGGCATCACCCGATCGCCGGCCGCTACCACGACCTAATGCACTTCTACGTCAATGCTCTGCGTCGAGTCAGCATGTTGTTTTTTGACCATGCAGATCTGTTCGAGATCCACCCCCAGGGAATCTATGGCGGATGTAACGCTGAATGGTCAGTGGAGGAGATTCAGTTCAAAGGCGTGATGAATTCCGGTGAGCAAGGAGACCTTCCTATCTTCAGCATTGCTCGCTTGCTGACCCACTACAGGCGACAAGTTCGATATCATCAATGTCTGGTTCACACGTTGGCATGATGGCCAGATGGTCGAGATCAGAACATACATAGATGCACCGATGATCATGGATGCGCTGCACAAGAACGAAATATGGTGGAATGGCACGACCCTCCGAGACAATCTCCAGTATATGCCGGGGCCAGCGGGAATGCCAGATCTGAAGGCAATTGAGGGGATGATGGGATATCCGGACGGCAGCAAATACGAGGACTAAGCCGAAATATAAATGGCGAAGAGAGGGGAGAAGACGTATGTGTACCTCGTACATCGATGTAGTTTCGTGTAGTTCGAATTGGAAAGGGGAAGATGTCTAATTTGCTTGGCACCAAATTATTTACTCATCCAACTCCCCGCAATGTTCCCGGTAGTTTTCCAAATATGTCCGAGTCAACGCCTCGCAAGCGTTCGCGTTTAGCCTGCACGTCGTGTCAGTCGCGAAAGCGCAAATGTTCAGGTGGGCAGCCTTGTAGCACCTGCGCCCAGACTGGTGCGGAATGCCAATACAGCGCGCGAAAGAAACGCGCAAGATCCCATAGTCTGTTCCGAGCGAGCCTATCACTCAGCGAACGAGCTACAGATGGCTGGTCCGATGCAGTTCCAAATACTACCAGCGCCACACGCAGCGCTCCGGTACAGGCTTCTCCCCGCGTTCCAAGCAGCGCAGAGGGCGTTACCCATTCCCTACAGGCCAATTCTGGCGCCGCTTTTGTCCGCAAACTTGGGCTCAAAATTGACCCGACGCATGCGCCAAGATTGCAATTGTTTGCCTGGAACGTCGGGGAGAGACGGATGTCGCCAACACTATCGTCGGCGCTTCCCTCGATGCCTGTCGCGGCACCGGCGCCGACAACTATCACCAAGATCATCTCTCAGGAAGAGATGCGGCGGCTAACAGCGATCTACTTGGAGAAAGTCGATTCATGCTATACATTTCTGGACCACAAGATGATCTCTACTCGAATTGCAAAACGCTGGGAATCTTCGTCATCTCCCATTGGTTCTGTGGAACAGCCCTACGATGCTGTGCTATGTGGCGTGGCTGCATTCGGGTATCTATTTTCGCGGCGCGAGGTCATAGCAACGGAAGTCCGACTCATCGAGACAGCGCGAACTATACTGGATAAGAGTATTCTCGCGGCGGAAACACCCTCGGTCGACATAGTGACAGGCTGGGTGTTGCGTGCTGCGTATCTACGCATGACAGCGTCACCACATGCTGCATGGATGGCAAGTTGTACACTGATGCATCTCATCGAAGCTGCGGGATTGCACCTCGAAACATCAGATCCAGAAGCAGCAGGCCTGCTTCAAGCATCGTCGCCTGAGACACGCGGTAGCCAAGACGGCGATATAGGACACCATGGCACCAGCGACCCCGAAACCCGGCAAAGGCTCTTTGGCATGGCTCGTCACCTCAACACATGGATTTCCTTTGACCTCGGTCGCTCCCGCGTTGTTCTTCACGGCGCCACAGCCCTATCTCCTACAGACACATCTCAATCCCGCAACCCACCACAGCAAGCATCACCCCTAGCCCCACGCGCAGACCTCTTCCAACTCCTCCCACTCTCCGAAAACCTCGACCCAACAGGGCAGTCACCACAAGATCTCCCAGAACTCGAAACAGCCCTCACCTCCGTCCTGGATCTCCTCTACTCCGAACCGTCACTAATCTTAGTCCAATGCAACCTAATGCTATGCATTTATCGCCGTCTCCGCGCTCTAAATCCACACGGCCCATTATCCTCTAACCTCCTTGACCGCGTCCTTGCACTGGCAAGCCGCGGGCTCCGTGCCGCACGAGGAATGGTCGCCTCTACCTGCCCCTGGCATCAAGTTGCCAACGTCCCTTTTCAGGTCGTCTGCTCACTTTTAGCGATTGACAATCGGGCTGCGTTGGCGCTGCTCGCTGATGCGATGCGGACTCTGCGTGAAGTTCTCGCTGCCTATGATACACCTTCTATGCGCGAGGCATATTCTACGGCATACCTGCTTATTGCGTTGCATCAGCGGCGAAAGGAGGATGATACCCGTGCCCTTGCTGAGGTGTTGCGGGTCAATGCTGCTGCTGCGGCTCCAGCGGACGACCAGAAAGATAGACAGATTGCAGCGACAGCGTTAGCAGAGCAGAGCCAAAGGCAGGAGCAGGCTGCGCCAGACCCGCTGGTATCAGATGCAGAGTTCTCGTGGCTGGGTGATTTGATGATCGATATGCCTAGTCTGCAGAACTTCGATCTGGACCAATTTTTAATGACGGACGTCCCATGGCCTTTACCTGAGATGGGGATTTGAGGTGGTTCCATCGAAGTTATCTAGGGTGTAGATTCCACTCCAGGGCTATAATCTAAATTACCAATTTACCAATTGCCCCTTCCCTTGCCATCGAGTACCAAGAACCCTTCCGTCCTGATTCCGACAGGACAACCACTATAAATCCCCCCTTTCCTTTTATTTCATCTTCGAAAATTCAATGTTTTCTTCTTCTTTTCATCGCAGAAATCACTGTGAAACGTCGAAGGATAAATGGTAAATGGGAGAGAATAGATAGACATATCTCCAAATGCTATACTCCACACAAGAGATATGGCGGAACTGTAGATCGCATTCAAAAAAGCAACCTTGGAAATACAGAAGAGCAAAATTACTAAAGCAAGCCTCCAAATATCATCTGCAGTCCCCTGTTGTTATGGTTTAGTCGAATCGGTCGAGTTGCTATGTCGAAGCTTCTCGAAACTTCGTTTATCCAAAGTCGCACACGTCAAGACTTGACCCCTGACGTCACCCTACCTTTCGATCCCTGACATTCGAGCACATTCAAGTCCTTTGCTGGCCTTTTGTGCTTTATTCCTTCTCCAATCTCATTCTCTTGGACCTGTGCTTTTCCATATTCCTTTAATTCTCGATCCCTTCCGTTACGCTCCGCCTTTCCACTTCGAACCTTCTATATCATTCGCGAAGTAAACCACAGCCTCTCACTTCTCACGCGGGATTCTTTTCCCTGTCATAAATCACCGTCAGGGTTCATAAGCGTACACCTCCGATTTGAGGCCCACGGTTTCTGAACTGCTATTTCCACTTTTCCATAAAACCAAATCTTACCCCGCACTATGGTTGCCGAGACCAAGCTCTACGATGCCTTGAGCGTCAAGCCCGATGCCACACAAGATGAGATTAAGAAAGCCTACCGAAAGGCAGCATTGAAGCACCACCCAGACAAGAACAAAGACAACCCTCAAGCTGCTGAGAAATTCAAAGGTACGTTACCCCGCACAGTCTCGGTTTGCCACACATGACTAACAGTCTTTTAACAGATGTATCGCAAGCCTACGAGGTCCTATCCGATCCCGAAAAGCGCAAAGTCTACGACCAGTTCGGCCTCGAATACCTGATGCGCGGCGGTCCCGCCCCGCCCCCGCCAGGAGGAGGCGGAGGCGGCGCAGCTGGCTTTGACGGCGGAATGCCTGGAGGATTCAACTTCGGCGGCATGCCTGGCGGTGGAGGAGCCCGGACGTTCCACTTCGCAACCGGTCCTGGCGGTGGCGGTGGGTTCACTTTCAGCGATGCCAACGATACTTTCCGCACCTTTGCCAAGGACGGCGGCGGCATGGGTGGTATGGGCGGCATGGATGACGATATTATCTCGATGCTTGCAGGAGGACTGGGCGGTGGTGGTGGTGGCTTCCGTACCAGCCGTCCGGGATACTCGAAACCGAAACGCGCACCTACACCCGAACCGACTATCATCGAGAAAGACCTGCCACTAACTTTGGAGGAAATCTACAGCGGCACCTCCAAAAAGGTCAAGACGAAGAGCAAGGCTTTTGACAGTATGGGCAAGCTCACTACGAAGGAGGTGACTTTGGAAGCCAACATCAAGCCTGGGCTGCGTGCTGGCTCGAAAATCAAGTACAGAAATATTGGGGATCAGGAAGAAGGCGGACGGCAGGATGTTCACCTGATTGTGAAAGAGGTACGAGAACGCTTCTGGCTGCAACAAATACACTTGACGGACCATTAACTAACAACCCATTACAGATCGATCATCCTAGTTTCAAGCGCTCCGGTGACAATCTTATTACAACGGTTGATCTCAGCCTAAAGGAAGCATTGACAGGCTGGGAGCGCATAGTTCGCACCATCGACGGGAAGTCAATCCGTGTGTCTAAGCCCGGTCCGACCCAGCCCGGCCATGAAGAGCGCTACCCCGGTCTAGGCATGGTGAGCTCCAAGAAACCGAGCGACCGCGGCGACCTGGTCATCCGCGCCAATGTCAGCTTCCCCACTAGCTTGACTAGCTCCCAAAAAGACATTCTCCGGGATGTGCTACCTTAAAAGGGGTTGAATTAATTGCATATACCTGGCGTTTGGAGTGAAACGAGGCGGAGTATTTAATGACAATGACACGAACACACTTTTGTATGAGGGTTTTAATAAAGTATTCCATTCGATAGGCTAGTCTTTATGTATGAATACAACATTCAATGTTTTTTGCCCACCTGGGCAGGTGAGACCAAATAAGTGGACGTAATATACATGTGTTACAGTCTAACCCAATTGAGCGAATGCGGAGAAACCAGTGATACCTTGGAGAAATCAAGCTTGGAATTCGTCACTTCTGTTTACCTTTGTTTCACTCGATAACCCTTGACCTGATTATATGGACCATGAAACAAAGAATCACTTTCATCCAGCGCGTCGATGCCGGCTTCGACCCGCAGCAAGCTGTGCTAACCGCGTCATCCCTCTCCATCCGCAGCCTGGACGCCGTGCGGGAGGATCGCATTACGGTCGGACTGGACGAGCTTCCAGAGGAGGTGAGAAAGGATTTCTGATTACAGAACATATTGGGAATTGAGCGACGCTAACTTGTTTATTTGTTGCGTTTAGTTGCGTGCTGTCCTCGAGCAATCTCATGAGTTCCACCTCCGCTGGGCCTCCGAAAGGTCTTTTGATGCTGTCGCACCATTCAGTAGCCGGGTTTCGCCTGGTCTGCATGTGCATTATACTCCGCTCCAGCCGGAATCATCCTCGTGAGCTCATTCCCACATCCTGGGGTTGGGAAAGATGCGATTGACTGATTTGGTTATCGATAGGGAGGCACTGTGCGCGTTGCTCCGCACGGTAGTCGGCCCCAACAAAGACGCCCAATACAAGGATTGTTCGAAGCTGGAGGTATTTCGCGATTGTTCCTTTTCCTTTGAGGGAACTTCCTGCCCATGTTTTGCATGTTCGATCTGACGGAATCTGCTGTACAGGATTCGTTTGTTACACCCCCGCTTCTCTCCACACAATTCGCTTCCTCGGACTCCCTACAATATTACACACACCTCCCTTCCACCCAGTCTCTGGTCAGATATATTCAGAACACTGTCTGTAACCAGAGTCGTACAGATGGGCCCGAGTGCCACACCCGGGCCGATGCTCTCCTCTCAGCAGATTCGGTCGATATCGACTATGACAGCATTTCGCACGCCTTAACTGTGTCCGGGCTCTGGACTAGTCCACCGACGGGCGGTTGGACTGATCAGTTTCAGAAGCCAGCATCCGCTGCTGATCAAATCGAGTTCGGTCTCCTGGGCGCGGACCCAGGGCTTGAGCCAGAGGAGATCAAGATGGGCGGGCTGTTGGCGGTTGTCGGGCAGGACGAGAAGCTAAGTATGTGGCCTCGGCGTTTCTTATATTGCTTGCCTTTCGCCTAGCTCTGATTATCTGCTATGGATCGACTAACCATTGTACAGAACCAACCATGTTCTCATTCCCCTCCCGCCACCAACCTCTCACTGAACCATCGAGCTACGCCGTGTCCTTCGCTCCCCCAACTGGTCTCCATCCAACAATGTCCATATCCATGCCTCGATCATCCCTCAAACGACCCCCAGCACCCAGCGATGCAACCTGCGCTCTACACACATACCTCACACTCCCGTCCACCATCTTCGGAGATCAATACCAGCTCGCAACAACAGATCCACTCTTTCTCGAGTCACACAATCTCGTAGCCCTGCGCGCCTTAGCAGGCGAAATGGATCTTGAAGCCCCAGACTGGGTTGTTCAGCGCTGGGGCTCAAACTGGCTCCTCGAACTAGCAACTCCCTTAGAAGCCGAAGACGCGGCCACCACACCAGGCCCCTCAAATTGGACTGCCACTATTCCTCTGCACCTGCGGTACCTGCCACCCTCAGAAACAGGACACCGGACTGCCTACATTCCCTGGCCTGTCGTCTTCTGGGCCTGTACTGCCGAGGACGAAACGAATATGGGTGTAAACCCCTTCGACCGCACAAATCTCGGTTGGGACAGCTTGTTCGGTCCCCAAACTTTATTCTACCAGCTTCAGCCTGCAGGTGGTCGTCTCGTTGAGGAGATCGATGTGCCGGTTCTACGACTTGAGGGCGGGGATGGCTACTTCCAGAGTAAATATATTGAGTTTGGAACTTGTGTCGTCATCTCTCTTGGCTTCATGTGGGTGCTTTGGCAGCTTGCTCGTGTTGCTTGGTCATCTGGCGTTGGGAATACACGTACCGAGGATGTGCATGATAAGAAAGAATAATCGGTTTATATGAGACTGGATGCTTTATTTACTTGCGTTGACTTTTCTCCCTATCTTTTGTACTCTTAATTCCAGGATATATCTTACCAGGTTCTCGATGAGGACCTGTAAAGCATGTAAGTCTTAGTTGTATATCTGGAGCCACAATCGTGATGGTTCAACTGGAATGTAGTTCACAGTATACACAAGTAGAATACGAAGTGATAGAATGATAGCAAGATTTGATTGTGATTCTGAAAACGAAAGGTAATTGCATTGATATTGGGAGCTTTTGAAGTACATCACCAGAGGACCGCTAACTCCCAAGCTAGTGATTGACGAATCTGCCATACTTTCAGAATGTATCCTGTCGTCGAGACGAGCCCCATGGTCAATAAATGCAGATCCTGGAATAGAGTACTCATTTTTACAAATGGCGCTTCGCATAAATCATAACTGGCGTCGGGATGGAGAGATTCCGCAGTCATAGTCTCATGTTCTCCTTTTACGGCATGTTTGGCCACCATTTTTGTAAGAAGACCGTGCCCATAGAACTTCGTAACACACATCTGGTGTTGATGCTGTGTATCTTATGCTTGAGGCTGGGTCCGTTCATTGGTTTCTCGTTTCTTATTTCTCGGGAGTTTGAGGGAAGGCTGGGTGGGTATTGCAGTCTGAACAGGCTTGACTTGGTACGAACCCAAATTAGCGAGTTTCAGCAACCAAGCAATGAGTAGTACTGACTTGAACAGATTCATGCAACTAACGTGCGGCCTCGTCCTCTCGAGAGTACTGTTCTCCATCGTCGGTCCAGCGCTGATCGCGAAGGGCCCATGTAGATTGGTATCCGCACATAAAGTCCAACTCGAAACACCACCGCAACCGGTCAAACAAAGGGCATTGCATCTCGGAAGTAATATCGTATGTCACCATCCGTCCGGTCTTGCTCGAGCTCAGCAGGGGCAGCCGGGGAGTAGCAAATGGCGACGGTCGTGCAAGCCAGCCAGACCAGCGTGTAAATGCCATTTTGATCGTTGTAATTTGCTAGGTGTAGTAAGATTCGTCGTCTATGAATCCAACGTTAGCAGGCTCTCACACGGAGATGCTTGTCGAGGTATCACACTTCAGGAGTCTGAGTCTGGTTGAATAGGGGACTGTTCGACACATACTTGTGCACACTCACTGTAATGTGAGAGAAAATCAGGTTTTTGTGGAGATGTGTGTCAGTTTGTCGTGCCAACGGGTGTTTGAGAAAACGAGTGTAGGGACAGGAGCTCGACATGAAAGCCCGGATTACATAGCCCCTGTAACCAGATTTGCAAGTTTAGAATGTGCAGACACCGTCAAGTGCCTTGTATTTATCCTAGCCCTAGAGGCCAAGGTTGTTTACAGTGCAAGTCAAACTACCAGTCTATGGGCTACAGAAGCATTTACAAAAACATAGTACATATTGAAGTAGAATACCAAGTTCTATCCCGGCTCTATATTGGGGAATTGCTTGGTTTCACCACAGGGCTACTTATCCTGAACACCACGTAAAGGTGCAAGTCTTGTTCAGGTAGGACCCGTGCAACTGGGTTAGGCAGGGGGCAGGGGGGAGGGGGGATGTGAAGAAACAAAGGAATAAACAAACAGACTATAACAGAAAGGGAACAGACATACCGAAGTAGTTTAGTTCAGCTCTTGTGATGGACAATGGAGAGGACAGGAAAGTACAGTCTGTATCCGCAGGGGTCATAGCCAGGCACCTAAGGAATCCGAAGATTGCCGTTCGATGTCAAGGCGTATACATGCTTCGTGCCATTCATAGCCTTAACTGAGCCGCAGAAAGGGCCCAATCACCTAGAGCTGAAGGGACCACAATGTGCAATGTGGACCCGGAGTGGTGTGAGGGTGTGAGGAGGAAGAGGAAGAAGAAGAAGAAGAAGAAGAAGAGAAGAATGGGGAGAGGGGTATTTATATTTTCCCAGTGGCTGAAGACGAGAAGGAAGTTGGGTTGGCGACGAGTTTTCGACAAAATGGGAAGGCACCTGATGGGGAAATGGGTACTCGGGGGTCTCCCCTTCATGAGCATCAGGATATCACAGCTTAGTCTATCTCTGAACATGCCCTTTGGTCTCAACGATTCCTTTAGACAGTTACATACAATACATCCTCCTGCTTCAGGTTTCAATTCTGCCTCATGCCTCAGATAAGTGTTGTCTTATGCTTGACTCGCACCAAAAGATTGATCCGCTCACCTAATGAGAAAATGGGCTAGCACTTGGCAGATTCTGCCAGCTCAATCAAACAGCCCTTCCTTTCTCCGATACCCTCGCTGCGATCTCGCCAACGTGGACCAATTGATGAGTCCCATATTGACTTGACCGATTATCCACTCAGAGTTTTGTGCTGTCTCACGCCTGCTTTGTGTGGCTTCCAGCAATGGACTGGAGATCCGTGACTGCTCAATGCATCCACTGGACTTTGGATTGAGTACTCCCTAGGACACGCATGCATCCCCGAAGAGAGCCCTATTTCGAATCGAATCGGACAACAGGGACGATTCTGAATGCCTCGTAGGACAGATTCACGAACCTAGGACATTTTCCCAGTCTCGACTTTTCATAACCATCTTGGCCGTCGAACGAGAGCACGGCTAGAGCCATCCTCTATGACTATGCTCCTATTGCTGGGATCAAAGACAACACGATTATACTTAGAGACGACTAGGATAACATTGGGGTTGTCGCATTGTTTGGTGTGGACACCTGCTAGCATAATAAGTATCCAGACACGAAGGATAATCGTGTCCGAGCCTCACGCTAACTCAGAAGACGAAAACACCAGCACGGGGACCCAGTTTTCAAGAGTTGCCATCCGTCGAATCGGGTGCCACAACGGCTCGGGCCGGATCCACACGATGCGCGTCCATGCGATGTGCGATCCAATACCTATAGGGCTGTCACAGCTTGTGAAACCGCTGGGTCCTCCTATTGTGTTCAAAATGAGAGACACCCACTTATGGTCCATCCATAGCCCTCTCGAATTGACCGAGCCGTCACCGAACCGCCCGACCAGGTATATATGTATGTTTCGAGATCCGTGCCTTGGCAGGTGGAGAACGTATTGAATACCGAACATGCGAGGACTTAGTCACACAGAGAGCTCACTTATAGAAGAATACACTTTGCTTATGTACCTATGCGTACCGGACTTTTCCTGGTTTGTAGAGCTTTCTTATCTGAGCTGCCACCGCTTTTATAAGGGCAGGCCCGTTGACCCGCTAGAGTGTAGGATAAGCGCAGGATAAGGTAATGGTCACCTGGCTCCTCAGCAGCCAGTTAGGTGACTACTCGGTAACCGTCCTTATTACAGTGTTGAATTTCGGTGGAAGTGATAATGGGAAGGGATATTTTACATAACAGATAGGACTAGACAATACATCTCCCTCAAGCGGTCTACTACTACCCAATGAGACCGCCAGAATATTGGTTTCATATCTTCCCGGTTGTTGAAGAATAGCTATCGGGTCAGCGGCCGTCACGTCAACATGGAAAGGCCCGAGTTAGTGCTGCCACTGTCGCCATACCTCTCAAAGAGACATAGCCTCCCGGCAGATTCCCAAGGGCCGGCTTGCACGTCAATGCTAGGTATATTGAGGCAGTGCTGCGGCTGCCTGGGGAGATGCCCGGCACCAACCCAAAGCTTGCATAGCTCCTTTGCTGCCTGCACCCCTGAGATGGGTTGGGAGGAGGGGTGGGGCACGGCGTGGGGGCCAGGGAGAATTAGATAAATCGACCACTAGGGCCCAGTGCCTCGTGCTGAATTACTTTTCTCTTCATATTCACACTATTCATCCAGAAAACTCATCAATCTACAAACTCCCTTTACGATGCCGATCACCAGCGATATCACCCTTGACATCTCCAAGTTCCGCCCGGAGAATGTCACGGAGTCAACAAAGAAAGCCGCAGCTCTCCTGGAAAACATCACCACCAATGGCCCCCGATGGTGGGAGGTAGGCATCGAAAAATATCGTGAGATGCGGGAGCTTGGTCAGACCCCGCTACCCAAGCCCGTCTATCTCCTAGAGGCTCTTGATGGCACGGTTCCTTCGCGAGACGCCGGCCGTGAGATTCCCATCCGTATCTACAAGCCCGATAATCGTCAGCCCAGCAAAGGCATCTTCCTGCACTTTCATGGGGGCGGTTTCGTGCTCGCAACGCACAAACAGTGAGATTCTCCCCTCCACTGACTCCTCTAGCCCGGCTTACATAAATATTAATGTCTTGACCAGCTCAGATAGCACCCTCCGAGAATACGCCAACAAGTGCCAGCTAACGGCTATCTCAGTCGGATATCGTCTGGCCCCGGAACACCCCTACCCGGCTGCTGTACACGATGCCATCGATGCCGCCGAGTACATGGTGGACCACGCAGTAGAGGAGTACGGCGCCCCCCTCCGCTTTCTCGGTGGAGAATCAGCAGGGGCCTGTCTCGCCACTCTGTCAGCCCTACGGCTAATACGGTCACGGCCGTCTTACAAACTGTCGGGTATCGTTCTTCCTTACGGCCTATTTGATCTGGCCCTCGGGCTTCCCACAGTGGTGGCTTCGACTAAGCCTCTCATGATAAATTTGGCGATCTTAGAGCGGTTCAACGGCGCGTATGTGCCAGGAATGAGCACCGCTGAGCGCAAAAATTCTTCTGTGTCTCCACTATATGAAGATCTCCAGGCACTGCTTGCGGCCTCCGCTAGATCGTTGCCCCCCGCTCTCTTCTTGTGCGGGACAGAGGATCCGTTACTTGATGACACGATCCTGATGAGTTCTAAGTGGAGCATTGCCGGTGGCGAGGCAATCGTTAAAATCTACCCTGGTGCCACTCATGGTTTTACTGTGTTTCCCGGTCTGCCTGTGGCAGACGAGGCAAATGCGGTGACCTTAGAGTTCTTACAGGAGAAATTGAGCGACTCGGCGTGATCAACGAAAATTCCAAATGTCTACCAACCGGAGTCTATATCAATCAGGCAACTACCTAGTAGCAGTGGAACAATGAAAATCTTGGTCCCATTTGCACCATTAGAAGTCATCTAATGTAGTATACCTCTTATTCCCTTCTTATCTCCTATACTAGGCTCTGATGTGCATAAAACTTGCATAAAGTCCACTTCAACATTCAATCCACAACGACATAATCACGAATAACAGCTGTGCCATTGATCACACTTGCAATCTGGTCTTCAGTGCATGTGGACTCCAAAGCAAGGATGTAGCAGACCGGATCCGGACTCTCCGGGACCTTGTTCTTGATATGCCAAGTAGACGCGGGCCCCTGCGTGGTATATGAGGCATTACGTGCAATATTAATCTTGCCTGTCGCCAGATCGCGATTGAAAAGCGTACGGTAGAAGATCTCGTATGCAGTCTGTGGCTGGTAGGCCGGGACTTCATGGCCAGCATCGTAGACACGGGTGAAAGAAAAGTTGCCATGCTGCCGGACCTGGCCGCCAATATACGAGGAGTTCGTGCGTAGAGGCGTGTACCCAGCAGAACGGAAACCAGAAGCACCAGCATGGTCGACCAGCAAGCTGGCATCTTCGCCCCCAATCCAATTGCAAGCGTAGTCGCTGTCACCGTAGACGAGAGCGACCTTGATACCGGAGTCGAGCACGTACGCCAAGTCTTCGAGGTAGCCGTGCACATCAGAACGCGGATAGTCTCCAACAGATTTAAAAGCGTTATAAGCACCATTGCTTGATTCCGTGAAGTTAATCGGGACACCCAATGCGCCTTGCACCCAGTGCTGGTTCAGCCAACCCAAGTAGTAGGACGGTGGGAAAGGGTCTGGGTTCTTGTGCGTGATGTCATAGTAGCCGCGGTCTGAAAACTCGATGTATGGACCTTCGACGTTGTTGCTACAGATCTCGTCGGCGTTGTGGCACGCTTTGTTGACAGTTTCATTGTTGCCGTACATTTGTGAATCTCCCTCTGCGGCCAGCGCGCGACAGTGCGTGATCAGGTCTTTGCATCCACCGGGACGACTCCATGCATCCATAGCGAGATCATATACGGTCTTGTTAATAGCCTGGATATCGTAGGTATTGTTGTATGCCATTACTGGATATGTCGGTTGCTGTACTAGGAGATCGATGCAGCCGTTGATGATGCCCAGTGTATCCAGGTGAATGTAGTGTGATTCTCCCAAGGTATCGATACTGCCATTCTTTATCTTTTCATTTTGTTCCTGGAAGAAGGCAGTGAAAGACGGGCCGTAGCGACCGCCGTATGACTCGGTCCAGATGCTGACCCGCTCATCATGGGGCTTGTAATGTGGAAACTCGGTGAACCAGGTCTGAGCAAAGTGCCATAGTGACCGTGCCGAGTTCTCAGTACTATTAGCTACAGTCGACTTATCCTGGCTAGCTGTCGTGCCGACGTAGAAAGTGTTATTCTGCTCGGGGACCCCGACCCACTCCGACAAGTTCCAGGCACCTTGAACTTGATCAAAGGTACCATTAGTCGGGACATCATAACTGAAGCCAACCTGATTCGGCTGGTCAATGTACAGCATATTGACATAGTTATTCCAGGACCAAGGATTGAGCTCCGTGGAATTGGAATCCTCGTTGACTATACAAGGTCCATTTTCCTGCATGAGGCCAATCATAGAGGAACTTCCTGGGCCTCCGTTCATCCATATGGACAGTGGCGCATTCTTTGGGTTATGACGAGACTCGAAAAACCAGAAGAAAGTGTTGATCGGGTAGTCTTGGTCAACATTTACATCGTCCAGAGAGCCTGGGGGTAGATGGACGTAACCCGAATATGATCTCACCCCTGGAGTTGTCTCACAGATCCCAGGCTGTACAATTTATCAGTATGAGATTTGTAATATAAGCGACCATATTGTCTATAGATAGGAACTTTGGAGAGAATCGCACCTGTTTATATGAAATCTTTACTCCCTTTTGATGCTGCGATTCAACTACCTTCAAGCCATCTGGTATGGGCGGAAAGTACTGCGCCGCAGCAGTTACTGCCAAAGTGGCGGCCCACAAATGAATCATGACCTGAAAAAATCGGGGACAGCAAAAGGAAAACTCGAGACGAGAGTTACGAGAAGATGGACACCAATGGGTAGTAGATCCAAGTGTCAGCGGGGTGCGAGGACCTCGGGGAGTGCCAAGACAAGGCCACCTGATATTTAATGCCCCAGCCGCCTTCTACCTATACAACATTATAAACATATTCAATCGTATTGCACTAGTATAAATTCAGACACATTTGGACAGGGAAAGTTCAACACTGTAGTTCCCAATTTTCCCGAATCAAACCCTCTCAAACGTCTTCCCTGAAGTTCTTGACATTTCAAACAATCTTGACGTGGAGCAAATACCGTTGACGAATCTGTGCGGGATCTTTTACGACGTACTCACTATGGTAAAAACCTGGACTGCCGTCTGCAGTCATCGTTCCGGCGCGAACATTTGGCACCCGGGACCCCTTGAAATCTGGGTGAATGTATCCAGCACCGCGCCAATTCTTATGTACAGTGCCGCCAACATGGTGAACTGAAAGGGCCGAGGATTTGCCCAGCTCTACTTCACATAGCAACATCAAGGCTTCCCCCTTCTGTCGGCAATATCTCGCCGACTTGGTGGATATGTCGGGGAAATATACCCCAGAAAGGAAGTGCTTCCCAGCGGTACTGACAATTCCATCGCCACGCAGCCCTTGACTCAAGAACCCTGCAAAGTTGCTAGACGCCGAGCCATGCCACAGAAGTCGACGGTCTCCAATACTAGCAAGGTTTGCCTTTTCCCGCAGGGCAAAACGCCCTGCTTCCCCGCGGCGTTCGAGACGGAACACACCGATGACCTCCTAGGAAAGTAAAAGTGTTAGACAAGGTTTTACCACTATAATTTGAACTCAGCTTGTCTTGAATTGACAAGCGTGGTGTGGACTGGAAGAATTTTCCAGGTACTCCCGGAGCATCTTGACTCTGTCGACTTCTCCTTCACTGTCAACAAGGGACAAAGGTCAGCTTCCTGCTTTAGACTTTTGCGAAGCGTTCAAAAGCAACAGAGAGGACAGAGAATATACACCTGGACTCATTGTTGCTAGACCAAGTACTTGGGATATTTGGCTCATGGTCAATGACGAAGACTGTGATTCTTTTTCCAGAATCTCGCTGGCATCACGCAACTTGACTAAGAGATCGAAGGATTCCAATTCCTGTCTGACGGCATCATTTGTGTCTGAAAGGGTCAGATGAATCAAGCTTTCGTAGATCGTGCACAATCTCTTCTTCGCTTTGGAATGGTCACCAGGCGCCAGCTGAGGGTCAGTAAGCTCCATCAGCTTGCCCAAAACTGCAATCCCAACCAGTAGCTTTTTCTTGTCCACTCTGTTTTCAAGCAAAACACTGCGCCAGTAATGGTTTAGGAAATGGACGTAGTCCTTCAAATTTCCTGATGCGAAGATGCCTTTTTTTAAAAACATTTTCGACACTTGCCGGTAACGGGCTGGTCTCGCTGATGAAGATAGAAATCTCCCTGTTATGTGTTTCGAGGAAATCCAAGCTTTAGAAGGGGGAATAGCATGTCGGTCTTTCCAGGCTAGACCACTGCGCGACTTGAACTTCGCCCTGAACGTACGTTTGGCCGAGTCCAAGGTTCCTGCATTTCCAACCGAATTTGATTCCTCAGATGATCCAAATTCGTATTGTAAGTCCCACGTGTGGAACGTCTGTGACTCGCTATGAATGAGAAGCTGGATGCGCGAAACTTCGACTGCTTTGTTCTCACCAGGTCTGACCAATGTGGCATCCCATATCAATCCCGCGTCGTCCTGGTAAACGGAAAGCGTACTACCTAAGAACAAAGCGTTAGACATTCAAGCCCCAGAAGAAAATACTATATCGCGTCACTAACTCGGTGTCGGGTATTCCTTGTCAATCAAATCGATCAGATTCTTGAGCTTGATCTGTTCTTCATCCTTCGTTTTCTTTGAAGGATTGCCTTCGTCGTCCCCAAGCGACTCTTCTCGCGCACGCTTTTTGCCTTTCGGCTCGACGTCTGCATTTTTCTCTTTGAGTATCTTTCTGAATATTCTTTGGAATATCCTTTTCGATCTTCTTGAGTAGCCAATCAATGTCCACAATTTGGCAGCCTTCCAGTTCATCAGCCTGATTGACTGAAATGAAATTAACATGTTAGTTGACGCCTATGTCAGATGCGAAACTTGACGTTACTGACTCCTTTTCAATTTTCTCTTGACATTTTCCTCGGTTGTCACCAGGTGAGTACAGTCACGGATATTCATCGATGCAAATTTCGCACCACATTTTCCGACCATCCGCTTGATTTCTCCTAGATAAACGGGTGTCATTCATTAAATGATATCCAGAGAATGCCTATCTCTCTCTATCTCTCTCCTTTTGACTTGATTTGATTTGAGGGAGAACATACCATGTTGATATCCAGGAATTGTACCACTGGCGCCGACGACCAAACCCTTCAGATTGTCGGCCAACTTGTCTACCCGCTTTTTAGAAGCCATCTTCCCCGATGAAAGAAAATCCGCACTAGTTCTAGCTCTATGAGGGCATTCAAAAGAGAACCAAAGACAAATTACTCATGAAATTAAACCCAGAACATCATTGTGGGAGAACTGATTACCTTTTTGAACTATTGATGCCACTGCAACAATGGCATTGTCAGACAAACAAGTAGCAAAGACATCAACATATGCCCTTTCAAGCCCCTGGACTTCTCCTTTGAAGCCTGAGGCTGAGGGCTATAAATTCATCCGAAAACATCTAGCAAATTCACAGGTCAAGTGGCTCGTTGAGAAGTTGAGAAGCCCTTTGTGTGCATCTATTACTGTCAAATACTATAATCAAGAGAGGATACATTTGTGCATCCCTTAATATTTATAGAATAGCATCTTATGTTGAGAAATTGAGAGTTCTTGATTAATTTATCAAAGCAAAGCAACATCCATTGGCTGAAATTGTTAAGACAGGGTTGTCCCCACAAGAAACGCCATATCCTCCTCATTGAACTTCATCAAACCGCGATCTCATTAATGCTGAAAAAAGTCCATCTAGTTGCAGGTAAAATAGTTGAAAGCCACAACAGGACCAAGCTTGACCTCCTCTGCCCAAGCATCAAGATCGTACCGCATGCGATTCGAATTGCTAAGCTTCTTGCCACCAGCAGGTGCATGGGCCGTGAGATCAAAGTCTGCAGGCTGTTCGTACAGGAAAAAGATGTACCTATGGGGTGCGCTCATAGGAGGGGGAGTAGGGCCAATGTAATTGGCGACGAAGGGCGCATCGAACTCCAACGTACCCTCACTGGTGACCTTGATATCGGACTGTATCCAGTGAAGGATGGGGCCCAGGACGCCGAAGGAAGGGAAAGGTGCGTCAATGTCCAAGCTCACAACCAGGTAGGTGCTGGTGGGGTTGGCGCCAGGGAAGGAGAGCTTCGGGGGCTCTTGAGCTGCTGTGGCTTTTGTCAGTTCCTTTTCTTTTCGTTTGCCTGTCTCCGACTTGGGGGAGAGAGAAGGGAAAAGGATGGGGATTGACTGGTCCGTACCTTTGCGGGGGAGCCATGTTCCTGGCTGCACGTTCTCATGGCTGCCAATGGTCAAGCCAAGGACCTTGGACTTGTCCTCGATGAGAGACAAGCCCGCTTTGATGTGGTTATCCGAAGGCATTTTGGATGTCTTGAACCCGCGATGACAAGAGAAAAGATGGGAGATGGGATGACGACGTGTCCATTTGTTGGAAGAACCTGGGCAGGTGGCTCCTTCCAAAATAAAGTTGCACAAGCTTTCGGGCTTAATGCGGAGATAAGGTTGTTTCCCTTTTCGGCAATTTTTATATGGCTATCCTTTCAGTCCGTGGTCTGGAACGTCGGGTATCACGGCATTTATTCTTCCAATAATCGTTTGGTGGGTAACAATACAGTTCATATTTCCAAGTTTGGATACACTAAGCATTGTTAACCTCCTTTTTTAGCCTCTTTCGTCTTGCAAGTTGAAATTAACATTGATTTCCGGTGAAAGGCTCACTCCTTCATCACCTTTGTGACTATGGCTCGCACACGGGCATTCCCCTTTTCGGGGTATGGGGTTCCAAAATCGCGCACAAAAGCAATATCCTTTTCGCTTGTCTCAAACAGCTCCATGTCAAAACGACGGACAAAAGCCGACAGTACAAGAAACAGCTCCGCGTACGCCAAGCTGCAATATCACGTCGATTAGATACTGTGACGGAAGGAGAGGGAGTCAAGTAACATACTTCATGCCCACACATATCCGACTGCCTTTAGAAAAGTTGACCATATATCTATCCAGATGCTCCCCTTTCGCAGCTGCACGTAGCCATCGGTCTGGGTCGAATGTGTGCGGATCGGGAAAGATTTGGGGATCCATGAGAACAAAATAATTGGTCTCACTGACTGGAGTCTGGATTTTGATCATGTCAATATACATTCTGGGATGGGAGCTAGTAACAATGGCTTCACATACTCCAGCAGGAATGGTGTGATCCTTGTAGACCAACGTTTCATTAGGTGCGACACGAGCCGATCGATTTGCAATTCCAGTAGACACACGTAATGTTTCCCATACAACAGCGGACTATAAGAAGCAATCCATCAGTTATTAAGACTATAATAAGACCATAGAAAGACGAATTATCACGCCATATAAGAGAGCACTTGCCAGGTATGGCAACTGTTCAAGCTGCCTCCATGTTGGCTGAGACTCAGGAGTGGGCATCACTGTCCACAGTTCATCTCGCAACTTGGCTTTGATCGACTCATCCTTCAAGATATGAAATGCCGCAATGACTATCGATCGGGCAGTTGTCTCGGTACCACCGATAATCATAGCAAATCCCTCATTGTTGAGACGAACAGCGCCGCGCATATCCTCCGGCATACTGGGGCCACACATAGCTTCCATGACGGAGTGAGTTTCCGAGCGTGGCGATTTGCTTTGCAGGAATTCCTCTGTCCGACGAAGAAGGTCCAACTTCTGGCTCACCAGTGCATACACGAATGGGTCAAGCTTTTTGAGCAACCACAACGGAAGCAAGTTCATGATAGTCTGAAGGACGGGGAAAAAGAATAGGACGTGAGAGAATTTGAAAAGCCCGTTGATCCCGTCTCTCACACTCGTGTTGAAGTCATCGTGGTCAAGATTTCCACTGTTGAAACCGTAGACATATTTGTGAATGATATCGGAAGTCAGCCCAGCGAAGCCAGCATCGAGACTGATGACTTTGTGGAATTCAAACGCGCGTTTGAAATGATTATCAAGCTTGTCAATGTTTTCATATATCAAATACTCTATGTTGGAGACTGCCTGCTTTGAAAAGTGTTTCTCGACATGTGAACGCCGTTTCCGGTGGTCTTCTGGAGAGATACTAGAAAATCCAGAACCCTCGAGATCAAATCGAGCGACCAAGTCAGCAGCCTTTTCGCGTCTGCGCTTGCTAGAGGCGTATATCTCATCGTAATACCTTGAGTCTTTGATATGCACCTCAAGCGGGGTAATGCGTATAATGGGCCCTAATGAAAGATCAGGCTGGTGGTACTGCATATGTCTGGTAAGATTCACCATATATCTCATGTAGCCGCTCCATCTCCCATATGAACATTCCTCCCTTGATCACATTGAAATAGAATTCATAGCCGCTTGTGATAGCTGCAAGTTTTGGCCCCGGAATTTTGCTGAGAGGGTGGAAATACAATCGATAGATGCTTTTGACAGCAATATATATTACCAAACCACATATTGCCTGTTTTAATAGACCGGCCATTCTCCAAGGTCGCTTAACGAATACAAAATCCCAAGGGAAGAAATTTGCAAAAGAAACCATGTCAGATTTTCCAGCAATCGTGTCTATTATAGTAGTGGAGAAATAATCATATGCAGTATGGACTATCATTCCCGCTTTCGCCACAAATAGTGACGGGACGAATGCCAACTCAGCCGGTGTGTAATTGCTCAAGGACTATTGGTTGGAGTACCACCGCTTTGGATGGCCCATCTCTGACGATAATGGGGAAGGTGATTAGCGCAATGACATGGTGACAGGGGCGCCGGGCTAGTTAGAAGATGGGGTACTTGGCAGCGCCAAAGGGAAGAACGCCAGCAGGACGGACACCAATGGCTGCCGTACACGCCCTAACCACATCGGATTCTTGGCCGTGGCAGCATCGGACCAGATGCCTATATTGTGATAGTCCACGTCCAAGTGCCGCTTTGTTTCCGGGCCCTTAGTTTTGGAATATGCCGAGGCTAGCCCAAGGTATCATTTTTAGCGTAGAGTCGGCTAACAATCCAAGCAAAACTACCTAGGTAGGATCATGTTTGTAATCACCGACTGCAAGTTTCTGGGTGTAAGCCTGACCTAACCAGCCATTATAACAAGATCCTCGTAAGATAATTTTGCAGTTTGGCTAGATTAACGAAAACTCGCGGGTGCGCATAAATACCAATCGAGAGAGATCGGACTACTGGTCTCAGTTCTCTGCTTCCTGGGCCCTCTTATTGACGTTTGCTGAGAACTGACGATCCAGTACCCAAAATCTAGTGATTCCGGTACCTAAGACCAACCCAATATAAGGACTTAGACACAAGAAGGTAGCTTTGCCTTACAATTGGCTAGGAACAGAGATAGTAAAAAGCACAACACAAAGATTCATAGTAAACTCAACGAAGTTGTTCGAAATTCAGTCACACGCACAGCTCTCCATGTGTAGCTCCAAATACTGATAAAAATGTGTGACCCAGAAAGCAGATACTTGTGCACGGGTGAGTCAAAGCAGTAGGCTAGACTAGATAGGAATTTCAAGAAATGAAAAGAATACAAGCCTTGACCATTAGGTATCTCATTGCCTCAGCTAAGCTAGAGGTCCTTCATAACAAAGGTGGAAGACAAATGAAGTCAGAAAATTGGTCATATTGCCATGCTTGAATAGCCCTGAAGACCTGGAATTGAACCACAAGGTCTACTCGAGGCTCTCCGAGTCAATTTTCAGAGGGGTGCACGTAATACTCGGATGCTTTGATTTGCTTAGTTTCTGAGTTTTTTTTCTTCTTCATGAGACCTTCAACCACCGAATAGAGAAATTCCTTTGGAAATTCTCTGTTGAGCCATTTGTCTGTCGCAGTATCCACATACATATCCACAAACAGACTGCGAATTGTAGCAGACTTGACCGTACGCTTGTATGCATGGGTGATCGCGTCTACACCGGGGTACCAGCGCTTTCCATCTTGTGCATCAGGCTCAGAGCATTTTTCAACAATTGCGTCGATGGCCGAATTCTGGAACTTGGCATCGAGCAACTTGTCACCGAGCACATATGCCTCGACGAGATCATGGTATTCCTTGGACTGGCTCTTTTCTTTAGGGATCACGGGGATTTTGCCAAAGTAAAGCCAGTGTGAATATAGAGAAAATATCTGGGGGTCATCTTCCGGGAGCTCAAGAGTGTGCTCCTTAGATTCTTTCCACGATCCGGACATAGCCTTTTTGAAAAACAGAGAGGAAGTGCAGATGACCGCTTCATGAACATGAAAAGGTTCCTTTGAGGCCCCGACGGTGATGGTCATTGTTGGTCCTTGGATTCTGAGTCAAATTAGTAGCAGCAAACAAAAAGTTTTTAGCTGGTATACTTACTTCTTGATGTCTTCTTCCGAGCTTCGCACGGAAATTTGAGCCATTTCGTCTCTGTTTTGGGGGACGCCCAATACTCGCTTGGGAAGATCGTACTTGGTAAGGCTGAAGCGAGGGAGTGCTCGAGGTTCTTTCAAACTGTGATATCGCATGAAAGTTTCGCAAAGATTAAGTAGTCTGAGGATTAAGTATCGAGGTGAAGTCTCTGGGATGGAAGGGAAAGAGGTGGTGAAAAAGAGGAAAGAAAAGTACAGCCCAGGGACTGAGCCAAGTCACTTGCCAGCATAATGGCAAACAACATTTTAGCTACCTAGGTACCCTTCACTGATTATCTTCCTCCACGTTAGACACAATGGCCCAGTTCGCCGTGGCTTCAATTCGTTTTCTCCTAAACACTGTGTCTTTGTCCTTTCTATGGACTCAATTTAACATCGGGATATTGTAGTGCTTTTGAAATTTCTTCCACTTCTAGAAGACTTTGCTATCATAACCGAAGTATTCTCAATAGAAAGCAGCATCAGCAATACGACGCAGTTATGCAAAAGTGGTTTATGTGGTCCATTCAAGCTGTTTCTAAGAGAAATATGTTATGCTCTTCTAAACTGTCGTAAGTTATCATTGCCAATGACGAGGTGAGTCGTCAAAAGAACCTCAAGTCTGAAGCACAAAGAATCCTTGGGCTTTTCTAAGAGCTATATGTGCAACTACTTTCGTTTCCCTTCATCGGTGGGAAAGGATAACAGATTCGCAGGAGGTTATAAGTACTTGAGATGAGACGTCTGATTCAGTTAGAACTATTTCCCAGTTCTATGACAGCAAAACTTCGATGGCAACAGTATGCCAACAAATCAAATTAGAAAGTTTGAAGTAATATGATGACAGAAGATCATAAAGGTCCCAGTCCCCCAACACGCAAAGCGAAAATGAAAGAATTGTCGAGTCTGCAAAGAAGTACGTGAAGCATCGTAGCGGCCTAGAGTTGCAGGTGACAAGGCACTAAGGCACTAAGATACGCGCAACGTGAGGATCCATGGGATAATGAAGTTTCAGATGGACGGACTACTTATAACTATTTAATAGACCTGTGCCAGATAATTATTGGTGTAAAATAATTCAACTGACGAAATTGGAAGATAAAATCCAAAGATCAATATACAAAAGAGCGTATTCCAAGTCCAGGAAACGGGATATAATGCAACTCGAGCGAAAGCTCTCCAAATAAAGGGCAAGGAACCCAAAGACCCATTCTCCATCGACCTGGCCCAGGACCAAAAACAAATACCATCCACTCGCTAAAATGCAGACACGCTAGAATCAATGGCAGGCAACCAACAACATAAACCCTTCTTTTGGAGGTGAGAGATGTGGATGGAAAAGGTATAGAAAGGGGGAGGCTGGATGACCCAAGAACTCCCAAATGAGTAAGATGTGTATAGAATGCGTATGAGGTATCGTGACAAGGTGTGTTTCGAGAAAATTATGAAAACGAGAAAGCCGAGGCAAGCGCAAAGAGGAAGCAGGAAAACAGTTGTCAATCAAAGACGCAAGATCACTCAGCCCTGGCATGGGGTAAGGTTTTATCGACTTTAGTCCCACCGGGGGACTCGTCGTGTGCTTCGCGGTCAGTGGGTGAATATGACTTTTCAGACTTTTGCCCTTCGGGTTGGTCGATCTCAGCTTGAAGCTTGGCTTCGATCTTGTCGAGGGTCTCCTCTACCTCCGGGGTATCCTCGATATTGGGCGCGAGCTTGGGGACATCGGGAGACTTTTCCAGTCGAGGAGATTGCTCAGGTTCGACTTCCTTCTTGTCTTCTTTGTCCGTCTTGCTCTCCTGCTCGGCGGCCTCGGTGGCAGTGTGGTCTTTGAGAGTAATAGCATTATCCTCAACCCCCGACTCGCTGTTAGCAGAGTGGAACTCGTCCTTCTCAGCAGGGGGCTCCGATTTCGTGTCAACGAACTCCTCGTCGTCGCTCGTGCTAGGAATACGAGGAGAGGCCTTGGCCTCCTCCGGAGATGGAGGTGCCTTAGGGGATTTGTCCAAATGTTCGAGATTCTCCGCCGCCTCGGTGACATCTGTGGGTGAGGTGTTATTGCTTGAATACGAGAGGGCCGTAGGCGATGATGAGGCACGGCTTGAGCCAGAGCCCGGAACGTGGCGTGGGTGCCGTGGAGGCAAAGTAGGTGGGGTGCGAGCCGGGATTGTGACCAGACGAGCCCGAGTGAAGCTCGGCGACGTACGCTTGGTGTCACCATCGGTCGTCTGGTCCTCCACCTTGGTGGGCGAGGCTGGGACACTCTCCCTCGGCGTGACCGTGGCACTGCCAACCTCGTGGATCTCAAAGTGCTCGTCGTCATCCTCAAACTCGGGGGCGTCGTTTGCATCTTCGCAGGCGCTCGCTTTCGCTCTCCTATCCTCCGCCTCCTCTCCCTCCAATTGGCGGACCTTCACGTGTTCTTCATCACCATGGATAGCAATCGTATCCCAGTGTGAGTCCTCATCTTCGTCCCAGGTATCCATCGGTGGACGGCCAATAGACGATCTCTTCGCGCTGCGAGAAGATGCACGGCTCACTGATGTGGCCTCAGTTAGTGGCGCGTCATCCGTCTGTGTGCCGCGGTCGACACTAGCATAGCTCCTAGAGCTCTGCACACTCGCGCGCCAGCTATTGCGTGGTGAGCTATCCATGCTGCGCCGCGAGAAAGTGCTATAAACAGGACTGTCCAGGTTGGGCCGAAATTCGAAGGTCTCGTAGCTTGGCCTCACTTTCGTGCCGGCCTCGCGGATGAAAAGCCCCTCCGCCTCCAGCGCTTTCACTCCATACGGATCGGGGTCGTCAGCAGCCGGCACGCCGAAGGTGTGTTGTCCGTCTTCCGTGAGCTCCATATCGCCAGGTGTTTCGCCCGATGGCGGGACGAGACTCTCGTCAACATCAGAGTCGCCTTGTGCAGCCTTCAAGGTTTGCATGAGGGTTTCGAGCTCGCGGGGTGGGTGCCGGACTTTGCCGGAAAGAATCTCATCGACGGATATCCGCTCGCCGTAGAAGCGCTCGTTCTCGTCGGTTCGCTCAATGATGATCGTGCCATCGACCGCGACACCTGCATACAGTCCTTTGCTCTTCATATATGTCCAGATTGGTGCCTGGCGTCTGTGCACTTCGGATTCGAGGGCACTACCCATACCTACGGGGCCCGCGGCCGCGCTGACCTCGCCGCCGAGCGTGCAGCGAAATTTCTTGAATGCGTCCAGCGCCTCATATGTGTTAATGACTACCACGCAGTCGTAAATGTCAACGCCAGCGAGGAAGCCTATCCCGGCCGTATGTAGCATAATACCAGACGGCGGGCTCCATGCGCCGGTCTCGGGGAGGCGACCAATCAGCACGCCACTACCGCCAGAGCCACTCATCCACAAACCAGTACGCATGGTCGTGAAGATGGCGATTCCCTTGGCATTTTTAAGGACTTGTGTTGGGATCTTCTGGATAACACGCTGCTTGCCCTTGGGGCGATTGATCTTGCCATTCTCATCGGTGCCGGTTGAGGAATCGGGGGCATAGAAGCCGTCTTTGCAGAAGCTTCGTAGGATTCGCGCGGCTTTGTCGGCTTCCTTGTCGATTGTCATGGGCCAGAAGGCTTCGGCGCCCAGCTTGTTCGATAGGCGGTTGACCGGGCCGCCAAGCTTGTCGACGGTGCCCCATGCTTTATCGAAGCCCTTTTTTGAGATGCTTTTGGTCTTCTCCCATCGGTTTGGAGCCATGGCGAATGGCTGTCAGGCAGAATAGACTTTAACGCTATTATAGGGTAATTGAAGAAGTAGCAAAAAGTTGGACGCGCTCCGCGCCGCGAAAGGCTGATCAAGGCGCGATCTATACACGAAGCAGTATCTGAAACACGACTTGCGCCGCGAACAGCATGAATCCCGACAGATTCTTAATGTGATGGGGAATGTTTGCAGCTAGATCGAACAGTTGGGTGAGATCTGCGGTTGCAGGCCAGGAATGCGGGGAGGAATGTGTTTGTGAGCGTATGTATAGAAACTTTATTCGATAGGAAGAATGTATATGGAGATTGTAGAGGGAGAGAGGCAAAAGGTATAAAAAAGAATTCCAATCCGGATCAGACGGAAGGGTTTAAGAGGGCCTGGACCAGAACAAAAACGTTATGCTCTTCCATGGTTCCAAGGTTCGCAATGTCATCATCCATGGATCGGATGCTACTTTTTGGGGTATTTCCTCTTCTTCTTTTTTTCATTATGTATCGATGTGTACATATATAGAAAACATCGTACTTGTTGATATTATTGCTTGTTACATTTGGAATAATATCTGAGATCTTGTACATCCGACTCTCAGAAATGACCAGTCCAGATAATCACATACCTCACACCCCCACCTGGAAAATTAAAAAGCCATGGCCTCCAGGGCTAGAACGCGTGTCGAGGCATTTGCTTAAACCTTTTAATCTATACGGTACATATTCCATTCTGAAAAATAAATTAACATGAAACACATTGTTATTGTTAAGTTCCCTTTGACCTGGGTTGCATGTTCAAGCCCCATTGTCAGGTGGATCCCATAGATGACAGCTCAATCGAGGCTGAGCAGATCGACAGATCAACCACGCTATAGGCAATGTCCGCATCCATCGGCTCAGTTCTCCCTATAACAACTCAGTATCCGTACTAGTAGCGATTTGAGATTAGATATCATTTCAGCTGAATATGTTGCCAGCACATATTCTAGTGTATCCCCAGAGTATAATAATGCAAGATCATCTTTTGTGCTGATTTTACACCACATCTACGCTAATGGACTTAGCCTGATTGGGAGATTTGAGAATTATATACCATATCCTTACCTTCTTGGTGCACTTGCAATGTTAACCAATCCTTAAGAAAGTCCTTCTGGATGTGAGGCTCTCGGAACAATTCACATTTTATCACAGCCAATTGGGGAGAGTTGGGCACTGTGGCTCACGATGGAAGTATATTATTGCCTCGGGCTGAGATGCAGCTTGGGCGCCATAGAGTTCCGATTGGGTACTTTCG